GAATAATGATTTTTCACATGGGCTTTTAAAAACTGGCTTTGATGGAACTCTGTTTTATGAGGAAACTCAGATAAGACTTTAAAATATGAATTGGATAAATTCCTCTCCTCTTGAGGTCCCAAGATAATTTGGGGCTCCTGGGCCTGTCAGAAACTGGCATTCTTTACTTACCACAGGTCAGAAACCCTGGCATAAACAAGGTATGGGGCAAGTTTTCCCAAGGGCCTTTATTGGCTTTATAAGTCAAGTTTGATTCCTTAAAGAAAAGCACACTATTCCAGCCAAAGCCTTGGTAAAATAACCAGTTTATCCAGTTGTGTCCTGTTGCAAAAGAAAACATTCGTATTGCACTTACGCAAATAACTGTATTGCCATAAGTTGAGAATATTCACAAATAGGTTCCAAATTCTGGAGAAATCGGAAACAAATAGGCTCCAAATTTTATTCACAGTGATATACTTTACTCAATTGTTAAACAGCTCAAAGAAAAGCTCAAAGCAGCTCAAAAGAAAAGTTTTCTTGACTCTGAAAAATAAAACAAAGGATAAGCAACATTTTAAACAAAAAATAAAAAAAATTACTTCAGTCTCCTGTTAGCTCAGTCCGTGTAGTTAACGCTTGCCCTATTTGATATCCACGAACACTCCAGCTCTTCATGAGAGTCCGGAAAATTTCTTTCCTCTATTTTAATGTCACAATTGCCAAAGTTATCGGAAACCTACATTGAAAAGCACCTGTCAAAGTCCTATAGCTGATTAAAAATTACCTTTTGATTAAAACCAGACAGTTGTCTCTGGATGACAAAAATGCCTTATAGCAGCCTCTGTTAAATAATTGACTGGGGATTTTGGTTACTTCTGTGGCACATAACAATTTTATATAACAATTATAACGTACACTAAGTTATATCAGAATTATAGTTGTTTCCCATAATTTTGGAACACATGCCAGTAACATTTATACAAATATAGCCCAAAGAAAACCAAGCATCATTTTATATTTGACAGTGCTTCCTATATGATTTTTATACCAAAAAAGCCAAGTTTCACCTTTGCAGTAGTGTCCTATTGTTAACCCCGATTCTTAATAAAACTGTATAGACAAATCTAATTTTAATAAGTATAAAACTGTGTAAACAAATCTAATTTTAATCAGTATAAAATTTAATCAGTATAAAATCTAATTGTAATCAGTATAACCATAAGGTATGATTCTCATAAACTGTTTACAGCTCTTTACAATTTTTGTTGAAGAGTAGATTATTGCTTTCAGGAAACCCTGTTGTGATTTTTTGCAGTGTTCAATTTATGGAAAAACTGAATAATATCCCTTTAACTTTAGCCAATATGTTCACACAGATTTTTTTTACAAGATTAATTTTTTACAAATGTACAACTTACTCAGACCTTCAGCGTTATCGTACTTAACTTAAAACAATCCTATCCCCCTTTAATCTAGGTCAAAAATACACATTCTCATGCTTTCTTACAATCTTTTACCAAAAACACATTTCACTTTCCTTACGTATCTGTAATGTAAAACTCTTTCTTCAGTAGTCTTCAATTACATATTACAATGTTAACTCTTAGCAACTTTTACTTATGGTGGAAAACCTTGGTAAGTAAGGAATTCTAATTATGTACTAGGTATGGAGCCTAGGACACAGAACAGAAGTGCAGATAAGGTCTGACTCTTTCTAGCATAGCTAGGGGGCATGGCTAACACCACATGTCTCCAAGCCTTACCTAGAATCTGCTCCAAAGTAAGTAAGTTAAACAGTTTTCAAAAGTCAAAGAAGCAGTTTATGATCTTAAAGCATTTAGCAAACCTAATATCTAACCTGCCTAATTTAAACCACATGTCTTTATTTTGAAGATATTTTGATTTTATCAATAATCTTTAAAACTATTTCCCAGAAATTACTTAAGTCACATGAATTAAAAGGCATTCCACTTTTTACTTTTCTGACAAAATATTTAAGTGTTCATTATTTTTAAACCAGTTATCAAAGCTCTTTTATATTTCACACACAATACATATAAATATACAGAAGAAGAGATGCAGTAGTTATAAGATTTTTCATTTGCCAGTTTTATTTATTTATTTAGAGACCGAGTCTTGCTCTGTTGCCCATGCTGGAGTACAATGGCATGATCTTAGCTCACTGAAACCTCCACTTCCTGGGTTCAAGTGATTCTCTTGCCTCAGCCTCCCAAGTAGCTGGGATTACAAGCATGAGCCAACACGCCTGGCCAATTTTTTGTGTTTTTAGTAGAGGCAGGGTTTCACCATGTTGGCCAGGCTGGTCTTGAACTCCTGACCCCAAGTGATCTGCCTGCCTCAGCCTCCCAAAATGCTGGGATTATAGGTGTGAGCCACCACACCCGGCTCATGTGCCAGTTTCTTAATTGGATTACTGGGTTTAGGATAGAGCCCTTGGAGGAACAGGGCCAGGAAAGCATGCAGTGTCTACAGCCTAAAAATAAGCAGGCACAGTTGGAATGCAAAACAGATCCCCAAAAATTAAGTGTCCCATTTGTATACTGGATCCTGGATTCCCAAAAGAGAAACGCTATGGAACAAGGCAGTGCAATGATTTTACCATGCATTTCATTGCAAAGTAACCCAAAGCCAGTCAGTCCATTCTGTGATCAGCCCATCACTCATGGGAGTTGTATCTCAGTGGGGGTTGAGGGGATGCTTCTGATCCAAATGTGCAAAGATCTGAGTATCCCCCTTGTGCCATTAGTTATACCCAAAAGTATATTTCCTACCTAGTTATATACGAAAGCTCTGTGAAGTAATTTCTGATACCCCCAAAGTGAAAATCATCAGATAGTGCAATGCAAAACAGAACACAGCCTTAGATTTTGAGAGGGATCTATCCATTTTAAATTTTGGGGTTCCATGAGGAAAATAGAGGTTTTCACTTAAAAGGGATCTGTGGTGCCCCCTCTGTTTTCCGATGGAGTCCCAGGCTGTTAAAGCTTGATTATCTGCTTTCAATTAAGCTGACTTAACCACGGCACTTTTTAAAACGTCCTTTTAAATCCCCCGTTACCCATCTTTAGCCATGCCAAAGTGCCAATATTTCTGGCTTTTGAAGCGGGTAACCTTCCAGGTGCTCAGAGAAAGAAAAATTTAAGACAGTTCATGGAGGGGAAGAGAATCAACAAATGGTAAAGGTCACACAGATACCAACCAGAAAGTACTCATTGCCTTTGCCAGATTGAACCTGGGCCACCAGCCATTGTAAAATGGCAAAGCCTTAGCTGCTGAGCTCCAGCACTAAGCAATTTCCATTGCTCTTTCCAGAAGGAGCCCAGAGCACCCAATTTTGAGCTTGCAAAGGCTCAAGATAATTTTTAGAGCTAATTATAACAACCCCCAAATTCCTGTTCTCGGGATGGTAGAGACAGAGCAAGTACTGCCATGTGGTTACAAGGTCAAGCTCCTCAGGATATTTTTCAACATGTTGTCTCTGGGCAAGATGAAATAATGGACAGTTGATCTGAGTAACAGAAAAGATAAGAAAGGGAAAGGAGAGAATGGGAGAAAAGCATTGGCTGTGGCAGGGTTGGGAAGGTGAGAAGCTCAAGGAGGCCTGAGAAAGACCCCTCTATTGCAGTGACACTGAGTCAAGTTCAGGCACCACTTGTCTGTAGTGAAGGGACCTTTTTCACCAGTCCCATCAGCTCAAGTTTCCCCTTTTGGGAAGGATAAAAGCTCCCCATGTCCCATGATTCTGTACATGCCTAATCCTGTCACCCATAGCCGTCAGCAAGAGTGCAAGGCTGAGTAATCCAAAGAGAATAGCAGTTAACATCCCGTAGTGCCAAACCCGTTCTTAGCCCAGAAGGACTTTACTGAGGGGGATCTCTAACCCCCTAAATCTTAGGAAGAAGTCTAATTTTCCTAAGTTGGGCCGCAGACCAAAGTTCAGTCAAGCATCCTTTCCTTTTATTAAGAGGGGTGTTTAAACCCACCCTGTCTTAGGAGAGACTCTCAACTCCTGTAAGTTAGGGCTCTAACCCAATCCTCTTCGTCACCTGGGTACCCCACCACTTAACGAAAGTTGGCCAATTGGTGCTGCAGTCTACTTTTTGGCACTGGAGGTCTCAGTATTGTCCCTGCGGGGTTTGCCAGGAAGTTATTACTGGAAAGGGGTCCTGATCCAGATGCCAAAAGAGGTCTGGATCTTGTGCAAGAAAGAATTCAAGGTGAATCCATAGAGTAAGATGAAAGCAAGTTTATGAAGAAAGTAAAGGAATAAAGAATGGCTACTCCATAGGCCAAGCAACCAAAAATGTCATATTGCATACCTATGCTAGTATTTCTATAGACTATGTTTCCAGAAATTGAATTGCTACTCAATTAAGATGTTTTAACACTTCAGCTTTTTATAATAATGTATTATTTTATGTTCCCATCAGTGGTAAAAGAAAGTGCTTGTTACCTTACTTCCTTACTAGTGCAGGGATATTATCAGTCTTTTTAATCTTTGCTAATCAAATAACCCTCAAACTTCCCCCTTCCCCAAATATATATAATTAGGTTGTAATTTGGATATTTTTCAGTATTAATTTATTGGCAGTTTGTTTTGTCTTTTTTGTGAACTATGTTTTTATGTCTTTACCTGTTTTCTTTTATGTATCATTCTTTCTTTGATTTGTAAGACCTTTTTCTTTTGACCATCCGTTAAACTTATCCCCATGTAACAAAGAATAAGGTATTTAAATTTCTTTCACTTTCAGATCAACCAAGAAGGATCACCTCTTTTGCTATCATAGGTTAAGATTTCTTTTCAGTAATGTAGAATTGAATACCTCTATTGTCATTTGTTATTTGCATTGCACCTAATAATTCAAAGAAGAGTTATATTTTCTTGGAAAATTTTTATACCATGTTTAAGAGGTTTTGTTTTTGTTTTTTAGAAAATATTGTAAGTTTAGCTAATTTTATATTCTTATTTATTATGCTTATTTCCCTTTTTGGTTCAGGATAATGCTGACTACAGATTATTTCAGAAAACACTCAAATTGTGTCGTTTTTTTGCCAACTCCCTTTTCCACTATACTAAGGTAAGTCTTTATTATACGTTACTTTATTTAATTGTAGTCCTCTCAAAAAACGAATTATTATCCCCATTCCACAGAATAGAAAGCTCGAGCTCAGATAGCATATAACTTGATCAAGTCACATATCTAGAAACCAGTAAGGCTAGGATTTAAGTACAGATGTGATTTCTTTTTTATGGTTAGACTATGCCTTAGAAAGTAAAAGAAATAGTTTTTATTGTATTATAGGAAAAAGCTGATGATCATTTGAGAATTTTTAAAGATTCCCCTGATGGAATTGATTTTTTCAAAAAGACAAGCAGCATAGTTAGGGAAAACTTTGCCTCCCTACACACCAAGCAAATATCAGATGGGTTACTACCCATCAAATGCCATTGGTGCATTTCCCACAATGTGTCTTTGCCACTGGAATACAAACCCTGCAAGCTGCAGGGAACCCAGTGTAAGAAGCAACCAACTACTCTTAAATGGCAGCTGCCCAGAAAGACCAATTTGGATGGCAGTGTATCAGTAGCCAGGGTACCAGCCATGGAATTCTGACTATAATAAATCGTCATTGGAAACCCTTATCTTTCCTCAAAAACAGAAGAAAAGGTCAAAAACAAATTGAACATGGACAGTAGTTTTTTTAAAAACCACTAACATCTTTTACTAATAATGTTTTGTTCACTGACTGCTGTAAGCATTCTCTGCTCATCTTTGCAAATAATCTGCCTTGACAACTTTTCTATTTGTTTATTTTTTTGAGACAGAGTCTCGGTCTGTTGCCCAGGCCTGGAGTGTGATGGCATGATCTCAGCTCACTGCAACCTCCGCCTCCCAGGTTCAAGCGATTCTCCTGCCTCAGCCTCCCAAGGAGCTGAGACTACAGGCGCCTGCCACCACACCTGGCTAGTTTTTGTATTTTTGGTAGAGATGGGGTTTCACCATATTGGTCAGGCTGGTCTCAAACTCCTGACCTCAGGTGATCTGCCCACCTTGGCCTTCCAAAATGCCGGCATTACAGGTGTGAGCCACCGTGCCCGGTCGACAATTTTTCTGTTTTACAGTTACCACTACTATTCTGATGACTCTTACATATGCAGGCCTCTTTAAAATTATGACACAGTTTTTAAAGTGTGGTGGCTCATGCCTGTAATCCCAGCACTTTGGGAGGCCAAGGCGGGTGGATGACCTGAGGTCAGGAGTTCAAGACCAGCCTGGACAACATGGTGAAACCCTTCCTCTACTAAAAATACAAAATTAGCCGGGTGTCGTGATGCACGCCTGTAATCCCAGTTACCTGGGAGGCTGAGGCGTGAGAATCTCGCTTGAATCTGGGAGACGGTTGCAGTGAGCCGAGATCACACCATTGTACTGCAGCCTGGGCAACAAGAGTGAAACTACGTCTCAAAAAAAAAAAAAAAAAGAAAAAAAAAGAAAAATAATTTTCTTTTAAAAGGGGGCACATTCAGGATTTTATTTTATTTTGCATTCCTTTGTGAGATTATACGTACTAAAAAGACACATTTTATGCAAAGAATGAATAGAGTTGTTTTATTTTAGGAATTTCTTCCTTTCCTCTCTGATTCTTGCTGTAATTTGCACCAGCTGTATCTTCAGATACACAGGTAAGAAGAATGCCGTATGATTATTAAGATATAACAATGCCATCTGTGCCATGCAGTGCTTGAGTACCTACCATTTTACAGTAAAACAAAAATTTTTCTTAATGTTTTAGTAATTTTTATCTGCTAGCTTGAAATAATTGGAGATAGAGGCTTTTGAAAGATACATTCCACATGAGTTATGCTTATCTTTGTATTTTACTAGTACCTTATACAGGAGTGATAATTAGTAGGGTGATAAAATCCAATGGCAAATATAAATATATATATATACACAAATATACGTATACCTTATATATGCCTTTATATTTTAATATTGGCATTTTTTCATCTTTATTTTTATTTTGTTTCTATGAAGTTTAAGTCAGTCCCCATTTGAATTTAAATTTTGATACCTTTCTGTAATTCACTTTACAGGACGGTCTTTTTTCTGAAACCATCTCAGAAAAGAAAGGGAATTACAGAAAGGTATCAAAATTTAGATGGGGGCTAAGCGACTTCTAAAATTGATGGTTACCTCCAAAGAGCCCTAAATTTGACACAAAGTGAGTTCATTTATCCATCAGTCCTGTTGCAACTTCATAATTCATTTAGCGTCCCAGACAACTTTTTCATACCTTTCCTTCCTCGAACTTCCTGTATCTCCAACATCTTCCCAATTCCTCATTGTCAATGACCTCACTTCCTGTGTCACTGAGGAAAAATGGAAGCAATTAAAAGAGAGCTGCTGTATGTTTCCTGTAACACATCTACTATTCTATGTGTCTAGACCCATATATTCATTCCGTCACTACCATGAGTGAACTGTGCCCCTAAGACTAGCCTCTCCATTGTGCATTGGATTTCATCCTCTCTCACAGGCTCAGTGACCTTGCACCAGCAATTATTCCCTTTCCCTCTTGCATCATCAGCCTTTCCTCCATACTGGGTCACTCTCATGAGTATACAAATATGCTGTTATTTTTCCCATCTTAACAATGCAAAACAAAATCTCTTGACTCTACATCCTCCTACAAATACCCTCTCGTTTCTCTGCCTTTCTTTACAGCAAAATTTCTAGAAAGAGTTGTCTATACCCCTGTCTCAACTCTTTCTTGAATCTAGTCCAGTCAGGCTTTCTGCACCAACACTTCATCAAAATAGTTCTTGTTAAGGTCATGAGTGACCACCACATTACTGCATCCACTAGTCAATTATAGTCCTTCTGTAACCTGTCAGTAGCACTTGATCCTCTTTTATGAACACTTTGTTCTTTTGGTTTCTAGGACATATCTCACTCTTAGTTCTCTTGGTTCCAGTCTTACTATCTGCTCCTTCTCAGCTTCCCTAGGAGGTTTCTCTTCTAAGTTAAGTGTGTCCCAGCACTTACTCCTCAGGCCTGTTATCTGTCTATTATCATTTAGTCTCAAGACTTTAAATTTATATCTTCTTTAATGTCTAACTACCAATCAGGACATCTATACTAAATTGTCCCAAACTGAACTCTTGATTTCCACCCATGTCATCCTCATACCCAGTAAAATCTGCTCCTTTTGTAACCTCTTTATTTCAGTTTAAGTGGCAACTTTGTTCTTCAAATTGATCAGGCCAAAAAACCTTGCCCCTTTAGCATATTCTGTCAGTGTTACCCTCAGTGTACACAGGCATGCACGCACGTGCATGTACATGCACTTCTCATCACCTGAACTGCTACCATCTGATCTGACTCACTATTATTTTCTTGCCTGGATTTTGCAAAAAAGTTTATGTCTTTGCCTCACGCTAGTTTGTTCTCCACACAGTAGCCAAAATGAGTGATAAAAAACACAAATCAAATGATGTGACTTCTTTGCTCAACCCTCAGATGACTTTCATCAATAGAACTTCTTGTCTTTCTTTCCTTGTTTTATTTTTTTTTCTCTGCAGCACTGAATTAACCTCTGCTATATTATGTATTTACTTGTACACTTGTCTGTTAACTGTCCCCTTTCATTAGAATTGTAAACTCTATAAAGACAGTGACTTTGTATATTCTCTTTATTACTGTATCACCCACTTGTGGAACAGTGCATGGCATGTATACATAGGCACTTAGTAAACATTTATCTAATTAATTTAAAAATATTTGATTGAAAAAATAAATTCTTGCAATGATGCTCAGTAGATGTAATTCAAGTCTGGAATTTCATTACTATGTTTTATTTGTATATGTCTTTTATTTGCTTATAATTAATCCTCACAATAACTCAGAATCAATGTCACAAATGACAAAACTGAGTCTCAGGAAGGGCAAATGAATGAACCAAAGTCATGTAACTAATTGACAGATTGGTGCTTTTTCCATCACGCTACAAAAACCTCAAGTGTTTATCTTAAGTGCATACTTTAAAATGCTGTTATCCTCTGCTAGACAGAGTTTCTCATGTATTGTCAAGTATACAATTAATGTGGCAAAAAATATAGAATACATATCTTAGTTCACATAAGTTTTGATTGAACTTTAGTTTAAAACCCAGTTACTGAGACATTTTCATGAAATAGTCTTTCCATTCTTCTTCAGTGTTAGTATATGGTTTATTTCTTGTAAAGCTCTTGCTTCTGAGAAACTGAGTATTAATTCATAGTAAATTCAGCGTTCTGCCTATTTAAAAACAACTTTTTTTTTTTTTCTTTTTTGAGACGGAGTTTCGCTCTTGTTGCCTAGGCTGGAGTGCAGTAGTGCGGTCTTGGCCTCCCAAAGTGCTGGAATTACAGGTGTGAGTCACCATGCCCGGCATTTTGTTTGTTTGTTTAGTTGGTTGGTTGGTTTTTTTTTTTTTGAGACAGAGTTCACTCTCCCGCCCAGGCTGGAGTGCAGTGGCGTGGTCTTGGCTCACGGCAATCTCCGCCTTCCAGTTTCAAGCGATTCTCGTGCCTCAGCCTCCCGAGTAGCTGGGATTACAGGCATGCACCACCACACCCAGCTAATTTTTGTATTTTTTAGTAGAGACGGGGTTTCACCATGTTGGCGAGACTGGTTTTGAACTCCTGACCTCAGGCAAATCCACACGCCTCAGCCTCCCAAAGTGCTGGGATTTGACAGGCGTGAGCCACCACACGCTCCACCTAAAAACAACTTTTAATAGAAATAAGCTAGAATTTATCAGAAATAATCTTTTCAATATGTATTTTCACTTCTGATTTACGATAGATTTTTATAGTATTTTTAAGGATATCATTGTCAAAATGGTATCAGTGCCTCAAAGCAACAAAGATTTCTCTAAGATTATCAGCTTCTCATTTTATAGAATTATAGCTATGTTTAGTTTAGAGATCTTGATCCAATTCTGGTTTCAATTCAGTACTTGGGATTTTGTTTTATAAAATGCACACTTATTTTTAAAAATTTAGTTTTTAATATATTTTTACTACTAGAACATCAGTTTATAGTACTTACTGTACCTAAAATTTTAAGATAGCTATTAATAAGTTTTTTTCTCTCCCTTTCCAGCAAGTTTCCTCCAAGCCTTTATGCTACCAGGATTTCTAAAGCACACCAGGAGGAAATAGCAGGTGCTTTCCTAGTGACCCTGGATCCACTTATCAGTCAGCTGCTCACATTTCAACCTTTTGTGCAGGTGGTTTTGGATAGTAGATTAGGTAAGCTTCAAAACAGATTTAATGGTAAATCATCTATTATGACATGTTAGAGACAGTGATTTCCCCTAACCATTCTTTTTTACAATTAAGAAATTTTTATTAAGTTTCTTTTAGTTTCTTTTCTTGAAACATATTTCTTATTTCAAAATTATACCTGGCGGGGCACAGTGAATCATGCCTGTAATCCCAGCACTTTGGGAGACCGAGGCGGGGAGATCACCTGAGGTCAGGAGTTCAAGACCAGCCTGACCAATATGGTGAAACCCCATTTCTACTAAAAGTACAAAAATTAGCTGGGTGTGGTGGCGTGTACCTATAGTCCCAGCTACTTGGGAGGCTGAGGCAGGAGAATCGCTTGAACCCAGAAGGTGGGGGTTGCAGTGAGCTGAGATCGCACCACTGCACTCCAGGCTGGGTGACAGAGTATGACTCTGTCTGGAAAAAAAAAAAAAAAAATTCCTTTACGTATTAATCAGGTTTCTGCTGAATTAATGTGTTTTTATTACATGTAAGACCTGCCATGTGAACTACAGTTTCCACAATGTCTTCTTCTTGTTGTTGTCATGGATAAGCTGCCATCTCAGCCTAAGGAAGTGCAAACCCTGTGGTGCACAGACAGCCAGGCCTCAGAAACTACAACCAGGTAGCAAACATGTTTTTATCCAGTCACATTACCAATGGTTGAGAATGCTCTGTTGTTTGGAATGGTCTTGAAATTAAGTTTTGTTTTTTTTTTAATCAGATATTTATGTTAATAGTTATTGTGTAGACCTCATATGTGTGTGCTACACACACATATATATTGCTACTATATAACAGTAGATAAATATAAAATATATAAACCTATATTAGATGCTAAAAATATTTTAATGTTTTAATTTTGTTTAGTATTGCTTAATGGTGAGCATTATAAACATTGATTATAATAGAGTAGCTGTAAGTAGAAGCATTTAAAAATGAGCTCTGGTAAATAGAACACTAGACTATGGGGGTGTGTGTGTGTGTGTGTGTATATATATATATATGGTATATCCTGGCAAATTTTACCTTTAATCATCTTCCTTGCCAACACCATAGTCCATGCTCTAGTTTCTTTCTTCCCGGATTACTCTGTGCTCTAATTTTCTACCTCTTCCTTTATCCCATTCTGTGTACATAACATTTATGTACTGTCAAAGAAATTCCTTAAAGGAGAATTTTTGTGGACATTTTTTGCATCATTTACCAACTGTTTATCTTAGTACTGAGTTATACAAAGTCAGAGTTCCTCAAGGAACTTGAAACTTAAATAGCTAAATTAGATATTATATGGAAAACAGAAAATAAGTAGCAGAAAAGGAGGAGTCATTTTAAGATTAAAATGGTTGAAGAAACTTAGAGGATTTAAACAACAAATTAAAAATAGTCAAGTTATGGGCATGGTGTAGTGGCTCACGCCTGTAATCCCAGCATTTTGGGAGGCCAAGGCAGGAAGATCACTTGAGCCCAGGAGTTGGAAGACCAGCCTGGGCAACATAGTGAGACCTCATCCTTAGAAAAAATTTAAAAATTAGCCAGGACAGCTGGCACATACCATTGGTCCCAGTTACTTAGGAGGCTAAGGTAGGAGAATCACTTGAGCCCAGGAGGTTGAAGCTGCAGTGAGCCATGGTCTTGCCAGTGCACTCCAGCCTGGGTGACAGAGCAAGACCCCGCTCCAAACAAAACAACAAAACTGTCCAATTGTAAGTACGTAAAGAAGACAAAAGCACGAGTAAAAGGAAGACATAAATAAGGAGTGTGACAGAAACAAGGAATATTTGTTGAAAATGAATACAAGAATGAGGAGCAAAAGTAGAAGATGGCAACAGTATGGGACAGGCTTTTATTCCAAAGTTGAGAAGTTCTAACATTATGCTTCAGTTTTTGAGCAGAATAGAAGCTCAGAGCCAGGTTTAGGGAGACTAACCTCATCATGGTACACTGAATGGGATAAAGGAAGAGGTGAAAAATTAGAGCACAGAGTAGTCCGGGAAGAAAGAAACTAGAGCGTGGACTATGGTGTTGGCAAGGAAGATGATTAAAGGTAAAATTTGCCAGGATATACCTTATATATATATACGTATAGTCTAGTGTTCTATTTATCAGAGCTCATTTTTACATGCTTCTACTTGCAGCTACTCTATTACAATCAATGTTTATAATGCTGACCATTAAGCAATACTGAACAAAATTAAAATATTAAAATATTTTTAGCATCTAATATAGGCTTATATATTTTATATCTATCTACTGTTATAAAGTAGCAATATATATTGTCTACACAATATTAACATTCATATCTGATTAAAAAATGTTTTTTGACACACATGAGGTCTACACAATAACTATTAACATAAATATCTGATTAAAAATTTTCTTTGACACTGTATTTTCCTTTTATGTGCATATTCACACATGTTGGAAACTTGCTGAGTATACCTCTTGAAATTTTTCTTTGCTTAAACAACCTTCCATGTTACATATTATTATTATACTTGCTAATTAGTAAATGTTATTAACTTTGGGTTCAATGTTCTCAATTTCTCTGCAGGATATCTCTACTCAAAGCCATTTTCTACAGTTTTGAGCAGTGTTCTGGTGAACTCTCTCTACCTGTTCATTTACAGGGATTAAAGAGTAAGGGGAAAGCTGAGGTGGCTGTCACATTGTATCAGCATGTTTGTGTTCATCTGTGTACATTTATTACTTCCTTTCATCCCTCACTGTTTGCTGAACTGGTAAGCATATTACTGTGCTAAGCTAAGGTTACACTTTTGCTTTCTCTTCACTGAAATTGTGATTCATATACAGAAGAAAGTGTGGGAATACTTAACGTGTATTCGTTTTGAATGAAACTTAGTTGTGTCCTAGAAAATGGTAATCCTAGATTCCTATATTGTATAGATCTAATATTTGGCTAAAATATTTGAGAAAACATTTTGGGTGGGGAGGTATGCAAAGACAGTGTGAGAAGAGGAAAAAATATGTGGTACTTAAGTAAGTTTCAAAAGAAAAATTAATAGCTTGTAGTACCAGGGCTCTTTTAGATCTCAGATATAATGTAGATTTTCAAAAAATAGAATTTGATTCGAAAAGAGGTTAAGAAATTCTAGGAATTTGATACTTGTAATATCTGAAATTTAAGGATCAGTAGCATTTCAGATATTACATAATATCTAGCACCTATTAAATATTGTATGTGAATAAAAGCAGAAAGAAGAGTATAAGCATATATGTTATTTATGTTGTTTTGAATATTTCAGGCTACTTAGAGAATCTTTGTGGATCCTCGTGATTGAGTTACCACATTTAAAACCATGTTGAACTCTCCATAGCACAGCATGGTACTTAATGTATAGTAGGTGCTCAATAAATAGTGAGGGAATGGCAGTGTCCTTTTAGATACTAGAAAGTAGAACTTTCCCATTGAGGATCTGTTCTTTGGATTCTGATAGTGCTTTCTTGTTTTATTTTGAGAAATATAATACTATTATTGTGAATTTTAGTATTTAAATAAATTTTTCTGTTTTTGATTAGGATGCTGCTCTGCTGAATGCTGTACTTAGTGCTAATATGATCACCTCTTTGTTAGCTATGGATGCATGGTGCTTCCTTGCTCGGTACAACATATTTGCTTTTTCTTTGGATTGGTTATTAGTAGTGACTGACAGTAAATAATTTTATAATTGTAAGTTTATAGAAAAACTATGTTTCAATAATCCTTTAATAATAATTCCCAAAATGCTTTGATTTCATATTACAGCATTAAATTAGGAAACAAGTTCTCTTCTTTCTTTGGTTCAAGCCAATAGATGAGTACTGTTTAGGGAGTTTTGTATATTGTGATACTATTTGGTCATGGAAGTAATGGCAGTTTTTAATGTCCTCATCAGAATATTTAGTGCTTTATGCAAGTTCATCTCCTTGTGTTTCTGAGTAATTGTATAAACCCAGTTGCCTTCTCTTTATATTGCAGATATGGGACTGCTGAACTCTGTGCATACCATGTCACCATAGTGGCTCATCTGGTGCGTAGAATTACAAGGCCTAAAATACCCACTCTCTATGCAGTTCCTTTGGGGATATGATAATCTTTAAGAATGTGAATATCAGCGGGAGAAATATCATAGTAACAAGATTGTTTTGACAGTCTTTGTCCTGTATTAATGCTGATGCTTTTAAGGAGGATGTACTGAAAAACTGTTAGTGTGAAACTGGGGATGTTTTCTCATATTCTCAGGATTTTATGTAATTTCAGTAATTGTTCTGGGAAGGAAAGACTAGGTTGAGATTACATTTAAAATTGAATACAAAGTAGAAAATAAGAGCGATTTATAATTGATGGCCAAGAGGTCTCTGTCCTCTGTCTCTCTAATACGCCTTAGACAAGCTGACCCTGATTTTGTTGTATTTTTTTTTTTAAGTCAGGATGATTTGAGAGGAACTTGAATTTGACAGTGATAGATGCTTTTGGCAAAAGAAGTCATGTTTTATGAATGGGTACACAGAGAAAATGATTTAATAATGATTTCATCTTTTTAACATTAACATTTTTTGCTTTTAAATTCTGAAGTGTTTTATGTGTTCCATATAAGATGATTATGACCTATTTGTTATGTATTTTTGTCCCTGGCCTTTAAGATCTTATGTGGGCCATACATCTTTTGCTTTCCAATAGTCTTACTGTATCTTACATTTCTTGGTTTACCTTTAAAGGATTTTGTAGATCAGACAGTGAGGTGTGTAATATGAACAGCTGACATCTATGTCTCCATGGCTAGATGGTCTGGATTATCACTTACCCACTTTACTAAATCCTTAACATATCTTTCACAAAGCAGATAAAGAGTGATTTTTATGTTACGTGTTTTATGTCTCAGGTTTCCTTTAAATAAAAGCTTATCAGTGCATTATGGTGTAGGAATGGATTTCTTCTAGTTCATTATGATATAAATTGATTCCAGGATGGAATGATAGTATATTATGATAGGAATTGATAAAATTGAGTTTATAACATTTTTTTTGTTAGTGGTGGTTTTTTTCTTAGAGACAGGGTCTCATTCTGTCACCCAGGCTAGAATGCAGTGGTGTGCAATCATAGTTCACTACAGCCTCAAACTTCTGGGTGCAAATGGTCCTCCTCCCTCACCCTCCTGAGTAGCTGGGACTACAGGCATGCACCACTATACCCAGCTCAATTTTAAAACGTTCTGTGGATATGGGGTTCTTGCTGTGTTGTCCAGGCTAGTCTCAAACTCCTGGGCTCAAGCAGTCCTCCCACCTTGGCCTCCCAAAGTGCTGGGATTACAGTTGCGAACCACCACACTCAGCCCCTATAATGTCTTTTAATGAGCTTCTGTCTTGTAGAGTTTTATCTACCTCTCTATTATTGTAGTTAGATCTTAAAAAGTTCCATGAATTGTCTTTGGACTGACATACCAAGTTATCAAAATGATAATTAGAAATAGAAATTACAGTGTTATTTTTAAATATAATGTCAAAATTTCAATCTCATTCTAAATTTAGATTCATTGAAGATAAAAAAGAAAAGCCCCAAATTAAAAGTCAATATTACTACAATCTTTTCCCCTAGAAAGAGCTGCTATTAATATTTTGGCATATTCTTTTCTTATAAAAATTCTGATTCTAAATTAGTCAATCTCTTCTCTCTTTCTCATGTCTTTTTCCAGATAAAATCATGCCCTGGAGAATGTTATCAACTCATCAACCTATCAATACTGTTGAAGCGTCTCTTTTTCTTCATGGCCCCACCCCATCAGGCAAGGAAGGATATCATCTTTGTCATTGTCTGTGAACCTGCTCAGAGTTGGATTCAGACTCCTTTGATAGCCTTTTTTTTCCGTTTTAAAAATTTTATTTTATTATTTTTTTGAGACAGGGTCTCACTCTGTCACCCAGGCTGGTTGTACAGTGGCTCAACCATAGCTCACTGCAGCTTCAACTTTGGCTCAAGCAATCCTCCCACCTCAGCCTCCTGAGTAGCTGGAACTACAGGCACACACCACTACGCCTGGCTAATTTTTTAAAAAATTATTTGTAGAGACTGGGTCTCACTATGTTACCTAGGCTGGTCTCAAACTCCTGGGCTTAAGTGATCCATCTCTGCCTTCCAAAGTGCTGAGATTGCAGGTGTGAGCCACTCTGCCTGGCCTTGCCTCCATTTATTTTAAATTTAAATATTGGTGTGATCTAAGTATAAATTTTTGACATGTTGATTGCTTTGTTTATTGCTTTCAGCTGGGTATAGATTTTGATGTCCTTGCTTCAAGTTATAATAATTATTCTAATTCCATCTTCCTGAAATAGATCTTTCCCCTTATTTTTCAAGTATATTTGAGATACATGAAATGAAATGGTTCTGTATCCCCTGCCCCTTTTATTTTGAAGAGCTAGAATATTATTTTTGTTCTTAATGGTCTTTACATAAACCTGTATGGCCTAGTGCAGTCCCTCAGACTGGTCACGTCGGAACTCTTTTATGAGCTTTTTTAAAAATACAAGTTCCTGGACTCTAATCTGTGGATGGGTGGGTATGGAGGCATGGGTATGAAGTAAGGCTCAATAATTGGTTTTGTTGGTACTATTATTAAGTTCCTATGTGAGTCAGACTTGGATCTAAGCTTGGGAACCACTACATTAGTGAAGGGGATTAGAATTTAAGGTCCTGTGGTCCTTGCTTTGAATCCTGGCATACCGTGACCTTGGGCAAGTCATCCTTTCTGAACTTCATTTTCCTTGTCTGCAAAACAGAAGATATGTATAACTATTTTTAAAAAGTTTGTAAAGACTTGGAACTAATACATGGAAAACAGCATAGTGCTAGGTTTAAGAGGGTGCTCAGTAAATGCTAGGAGTTATTTCTGACTAGGGTTTTTGCCCCAAGTCCAAGTCTGTTCCTGCCCTAGAGTGGTTGGTCAGGAACCAGAGGTACTACAACTACCTCTTAGCCTTCTTTTTCTTAAAGGTAGCCCCACCCATTAGCCCTCTAAGAGCATGGGAAGCTTGCTTGCTTCCAAAAGAATTTTCTACTCCAGATCTCTTAGAAGAAGTGGGACTGGGAGGGAAAGGGTCACATGTCATAATACTTTAAGAAAATCACTTTCCTTTTTTTTTAGACACAGAGTCTGGTTATGTTGCCCAGGCTGGTCTCAAACTTGAACTCAAACGATCCTCCTGCCTTGGCGTCCTAAAGTGCTGGGATTAGAGGTGTGAGCCATTGAGCTCAGCCGTCACTTTCCTTTTAACCTCAATTTTCTTATTTATACAACAGGAATAAAATTATTTTCCCAAAGTGGTTGTGAAAATTTTAACTTTTAAAATAATATAACTCAGAATGAATTAGCTATGAGGTCTAGAAGCAGTGTTCTAAATTAGATAAATTATAGTCTATGCCTGGAGATCTCTTACTCTCAATTTTCTAAATTTTTCCAAATGAGGCTATCAGATATATAAATTATAGGTAAATGAACGGTTACTTTTAATTTGTATCTTCGGTTATCGAATGCAGATTTTCTTTATGTACAAGTTATTGTGATAAAACTTAAGAAACCTGAATCTGAATACCTATTCTGAGAGTCTTTAGGAGAGTTAATTATAAAATTGAGATAGATACTAATACTCATATGGCAGTTAAGAAACTTGATAAGATAGAGAATATACATATGGCATGAAAAGACCATTTAACAAATGTTAGGTCTCCTCTCCTGTTTGGCCTTTTTTTTTTTTTTTTTAACCCCTTAAGATATTATCCTTTCTCTTAAAGGAAGGAGGACGGGAAATAATATTTTTGAGACTGTACCAGTCCAGGCACTTAATTCATTTAATCCTTACAGCAGCCTTGTGGGATAGATAATATTGTGTCCATTTGACAGATGAAGAAACAGTAGCTCGAAGAAATTAAATAACTGCCACAAATTCACACCTAACAGCTGATCTGGGATGCTGAGGCAGGAGGATCGGAGGATCGTTTTATTTAGCCCAAAGTTCAAGTCCAGCCTGGACAACATAGCAGGACTCTCTTTACAGCTTGGAAACCACTGCATTATCTCATGATATCTCAAGGAACATAAAATCTAGTATAAACTATAAATTTATAAAGATACTCATATTAAAGAGTGATTTGTGATGAATGCCAAAACTGAGGCACAAATCAAATGTTGTTGGGTGTTCGTAGCTGAGACAGTCATTTCTGAAGAGGTGCAGCATGGGAACAGGTAGACATAGGAGTTGGAGTTGATGGCATTTGAGGTATGTGTTACAGGATGAATGTGGAAGGTGGTGGGACTAGAGAAGCAAAGGCAAGAAAGCATATTAGAGAAAAAAGGAGAAGCAAGCAATGAAACTTGAAATAATTATTCAGCTATTTGCATACAAGATGTTGTCTTTTTAAGTAGTAAAATAAGAACCCCAATTTTTTTTACTAGTGATGTAGCCTTAACATAAATGAAAATAGTTAATCCCAGTATGGTGATAACATACTTTAAAAAACAAAAGTGTCTATGATGCTCATTTGGAAGAAGATGCCAATAGAAATAGATGTTAGAATGCATTTACTGTTTTAATATGAGGGGTAATTATTGAATATCACATTATTTCTTTTAGTATGTAACTATTAATAGTATTCCATTTTATCAAGAAAAGCAAAAATACAAGAAGGTTACCTACTTGAGGGAAAAGTATTTAATATGCCTTATCTAAGCACACTGATAGTTTGTACTATCTTTTTAATGTAAAGTAAAAATTACTGCATTTACATTTTAAACCCACAAGTGTATTTTTTCTTTCCAGTTTTAAGAAGGGAAATCATAATTCTCTGTGTATTATTCCCTTATACTTTAGTCTTTTATGAACTATTTTGTCATAGCAGTTTTAAGTCTTTAGAATTGTGTTGAAACCAGGGTTTTCAACCTCAGAATAGAATCTTGAACTCTTTCTGTAACAAATTTTGGCAATACCTACCCTTTTATGTTGTCCAGGACATTATATTTTTAGTTTCTATTTTGGAAAGGGAAGTAGTTCACTCACTTACTGGACTTTATTATAAAGAAAGGTGATACTTGAACTGATGTTTGCCAGTTGGCACAGTTCTCTTGGCTTTCCTGATGTAGTTTGCTTTTATGAATAAAGCTGCTTTTTATAATAGACACTCGCTCATCAAGGGATCTGTTTTTCTGGCTGTAGCCTCTGTCACAGCAGATAGCCACATAATTTCTAGCTTGTATTGACAGGTAAATATTTTCCACAAAAGAAGTAAAATTGAAATACAAATATAGTATATGACGGAAAAGTTTCTCTGTCAGATTTAATTTTTTTTGGTGAGTTTTTAGTTTTTGGTGTAGGAAAAGTTTTCATCAAGTAGATTTTGAATATTTTAAATTGAATTATTCTACTTCTTAGAAAATACACTAATATACTTCCTAGTTGGATTATACTTATTTTAATCATTAAATGCACTATTGGTTTTACCATTTTTCCACCAAAAACTGATTCAGCATTTAAACTGTTTCTTAGAACTCTTGTTTTCCATTTTTATCTAGTCTGTAACATCTGCATTTTAACAAAACAGTACTTTTCTGTTAACCTAGTAAGCACTTTGAATTGTTATTTCAGTGGTGGAATGGATTTGCCAACCACATTCTTTTTGATTTGTGGCTTACCTTTGTGAAACTGATTTAGTATGTTGTCTAAAGTAGGGCAGAACCAGCTAACTCAGTTTAAAGCTGAATCTTTGCTTCTTTAAGTTCTCTGCTATGAATCAAGTGAGATAATAGTAAGCTATGAAGGTTGACTAAATCCAGTTTGTATATTTGGAATGTTACTTTTGACTTAACTACAAGGTGAGGAGTATACAGAAAAATAAGACTTATTGGTAAGTAGGAGCATGATAAGATATCTGACATAACTAATAATGAAATACATTATTTAATGGCTTAGTGCATTTATATCGTGCTCCACTTAAGCTGTGTTTTTGTTTTGGAAACCAGTGCAGTGTCAACAACAATAATAATAAGGTATGTTCATTTATGTTACCTTGGTCTGGAACATAGATATTACGGTACTATTAAAAAGCTTTCTTGAAATATTAAATGTGGAAACAAATACTTAGCTTTTGTGTATCCATTCCTCTGACTTGTCTCATATTACTCTTCTTTCTTTAACAATTTATTTCAGCTGGAGTTTATCCATAAATTTTCCCCAAAAGAAGCAGAAAATCTGCCTCTGTGGCAGCATATTTCCTTCCAGGCGTTACCTGCTGAGCTTAGGAAACAAACTGTCCATGAGGTCTCCACGGTAGGCACAGCAGAATGCAGGAAATGGCTGAGCAGCAGTCATACTTTGGGAGAACTAGAATCTCTGGTAAGATAATAATTTTGATTAATTTTATTCATTCAGCAGCTATTTATTGAGCATTGTTTTAGGTAATGGGGATAGGTTGCTAATAACAAGCACACAGGCTCTGTGCTCTGTTTCTGTTAGAACCTAGTAAGATTTTCAGATTTCTACATCGTAAAAGAATCTGTGAGAAACGTACTGTTATTTTAATTGATGTATTATATTGGGGGGTTGTTTCCTATGTTGCTTAAGACATGTTGAGACATGATCAAACACACTATGGAACACTTGACTTGTGTATTTTTGCTGATGCATCTCTGGATTAGGCAGATGTAATTCTTCCATTCGACAAAATACAACCCCCATTTTATGCGAACTTACTCTGAACCTTTATGTACCTTTTACGTAGAATGTTCCCTCATAAAATAATGGAATAATAAAAAGACACTCATCCACTAGAAGAAGTAGGAAATGCGAGCTTTTAAAAAGTTGACTGGATATAGTACATGTAATTGAATTTTCCAGTTTAGTGTTCATACGCTCATTCATTCAAGAAACGTATTTGGAATACTTTTATGTGCCACTTTGTTCTAGGCATTGGGGGTACATCGGGAACCAAAAATTTCTACTCTTATAGACTCACATTTGAGCTTAGCAGTGGACAGTAAAATAAGAAATGCCAATTTACATTAAGTAGAGAAAAGCAAGGATAAGGATAGGGCATTCAAAGGGACAGAGGTCTATTTGCAATTCTAACTTAGGAGTTCAGGGTCTTCTGAGGGCATATGTCTCCATGCTGAGTACAAATGTTCTGATACTGTTACATGTAATGACACTTGATCATAATTATTATAATTTTTTGTGAGGGGATGAGGTTTTGTTCTCATGGCCCAGGCTGAGGTGCAATGGCGTAATCTTGGCTCACTGCAATCTCCGCCTCCCAGATTTAAGCAATTCTCCTGCCTCAGCCTCCTGAGTAGCAGGGATTGGCTCCCACCACCATGCCCAGCTAATTTTTTGTATTTTTAGTAGAGACGGAGTTTCGCCATGTTGGCCAGGTTGGTTACGAACTCCTGACGTCAGGTGATCCACCCGCCTTGGCCTCCCAAAGTGCCGGGATTACAGGTGTGAGCCACAGTGCCCAGGCTTATCCAAAGGAAATGTTTTTATGTGACTTTATTTTAGAAAACCTGTTAAATACCTTGTTAATAGGTTAAATGTGTCTGAGTTTTGCATTTAATGTGTACCAATTTCTATAGTAAGGACAAAAGATGTTTTGTTTTATATTAGGTAAAGTAAAAGCACTATAAGTAAACTTTTGAAGTATGACCACAGCTTTTTAGTCCAGCAGGTTGTTTAACATATGTCTTTTTAAATTTTTTTTCAACTTTTATTTTTTATTTTATTTTTTGGGATGGAGTCTTGCTCTGTTGCCCAGGCTGGAGTGCAGTGGCATGATCTCGGCTCACCGCAACCTCTGCCTCCTGGGCTTAAGCGATTATCCTGCCTCAGCCTCCCAAGTAGCTGGGATTACAGGCACCCACCACCATGCCTGGCTAATTTTTGTATTTTTAGTGGAGACAGGGTTTAGCCATGTTGATTAGGCTGGTCTCGAACTCCTAACCTCAGGTGATCTGTCCGCCTCAGTCTCCCAAAGTGCTGGGATTACGGGAGTGAGCCACCATACCCAGACTCAACTTTTATTTTAGATTTAGGGGATACTTGTGCAGGTTTGTTACCTGGTTTTATTGCATGATGCTGAGGTTTGGGGTATCAATGATTTCATCACCCAGGTACTCAGCATAGTACCCAACAGTTTATCAATCCTTATCCTCTCTCCTCCCTCCCCCTACTAGTAGTCCCAGTGTTTATTGTTGCCATCTTTATGTCCATGAGTGCCCAGTGTTTAGCTCTTACTTATAAGTGAGAACAGTGGTATTTGGTTTTCCATTCCTGTATTAATTTGCTTAGGATAATGGTGTCTAGCTGCTCTATGTTGCTGCAAAGGACATGATTTCATTCTTTTTTATGACTGTATACTATTCCATGGTATATATGTACCACATTTTCTTTAATCTGTTGATGGACATCTAAGTTGATTCAGTGTCTGCTGTTGTGAGTAGTGCTGCAATGAACAAGTGAGTACATGTGTCTTTTTGGTAGAACAGTTTGTTTTCTTTTGGATATGTACCCAGTAATGAGATTGCGGGGTAGAATGGTAGTTCTGAGTGCTTTGAGAAATTGCCAAACTGCTTTCCACAGTGGCTGAAATAATATACATTCCTACCCACAGTATATAAGCATTTACTTTCTCTGTAGCCTCACCAATGTCTGTTGTTTGACTTTTTAAACGGCCATTGTGACTGGTGTGAGATAGTATCTCATTGTGATTTTGATTTGCATTTCCCTGATAGTTTCTTTATATGTTCGTTGGCCTCTTGTGTGTCTTATTTTGAGAAACGTCTGGTTCATGTCTTTTGCCCATTTTCTAATGGGGTCGTTTTTTACTTGTTCAGTTGTTTTAAGTTCCTTATAGATTCTGGATAGTAGACCTTTGCCACATGCATAGTTTGCAAGTATTTTCTCCCATTTTATTGGTTGTCTGTTTACTTTGTTGATAGTTTCTTTTGCTCTGCAGAAGCTCTTTAATTAGGTCCTGCTTGTCAATTTTTGCTTTTATTGCAATTGCTACCGGTGTCTTTCTCAAGGCTGAGGTCTAGAACGGTGTTTCCTAGGTTTTTTTCTAGGATTCTTATAGTTTGAGGTCTTACATTTAAATCTTTAATCCATCTTGAGTTAATTTTTGTATATGCTGAAAGGTAGCTATCCAGTTTCATTCTTCTGCATGGCCCAGCACCATTTATTGAATAGGAGTCCTTTCCCCATTACTTGTTTTTGTTGACTTTTTCAGTGATCACGTGGTTGTAGGTATGTGGCTTTATATGCAGGTTCTCTATTGTGTTCATTGATCTATTTCTGTTTTTATACCAGTATCATGCTGTTTTGGTTACTGTAGTCGTACAGTTTCAAGTCAAGTAATATGACGCCTCTGGCCTTCTTCATTTTACTTATCATTACTTTGGCTATTCAGGCTCTTTTTTGATTCCATATGAATTTTAGAATAGTTTCTTCTAATTCTGTGAAAAATGGTGTCAGTAGTTTGGTAGGAAAAGCATTGAATCTGTAGATTGCTTTGGGTAGTATGGCCATTTTAATGATATTGACTCTTCCAATCCATGAGCATGGACTGTTTTTCCATTTGTTTGTGTCATCTATGATTTCTTTTAGCAATTTTATCATTTCCTTGAAGAGATCTTTCACCTCCTTGGTTAAATGTATTCCTAGGGGTGTGCATGTGTCTACTGTAAACAGGATTGTGTTTTGTTGTTGTTGTTGTTGTTGTTATTCAGACGGAGTCTCTGTTGCCCAGGCTGGAGTGCAGTGGCGCTATCTCGGCTCACTGCAAGCTCCGCCTCCCGGGTTCACGCCAGTCTCCTGCCTCAGCCTCCCAAGTAGCTGGGACTACAGGCGCCCGCCAACACACCCGGCTAATTTTTTGTGTTTTATAGTAGAGACGGGGTCTCACCATGTTAGCCAGGATGGTCTTGATCTCCTGACCTCGTGATCTGCCCGCCTCGGCCTCCCAAAGTGCTGGGAGTACAGGCGTGAGCCACCACACCCAGCCTTGTCTTCTTGATTTGCCACTCAGCTTGAATGTTATTGGTGTATAGAAATGGTATTGATTTTTGTACATTGATTTTGTATCCTGAACAGTTTGACTTCTTCTTTTCCTATTTGTATGCTGCTTTTTTTTCTCTTGCCTTATTGCTCTGGCTTGAACTTTCAATACTATGTTGAATAGGAGTGGTTAAGAGTGGGTATCCTTGTCTTGTTCCATTTCTGAAGAGGAATTCCTCCAGTTCTTGCCTGTTCAGTGTAATGTTGGCTGTGAGTTTGTCATAGATGGCTCTTATTATTTTGATGTATGTTCTTTTGATGCCTAGTGTCTTGACGGCCTTTATTATGAAGGGATGTTGGATTTTACCAACAGGTTTTCCATGTCTTTGAGATAATCAATATGGTTTTTGTCTTTAATTCTGCTTATGTGGTGAATCACACATTGATTTGCATATGTTGAACCAATCTTGCATCCCAGGAATGGAGTGTACTTGATCATGGTCAATTAAGTTTTTGATGTGCTGTTGAATTTGGTTTGCTAGTATTGTTTTGAGGATTTCTGCATCTAGAACATGTTCATTTGTAAAAGGAAATAGGTAAATCTTAAGAAGTTGTATGGTAATTTCATAAAATTAAGTGTGGTTGTCTAAGTATAATAGATTAAAGGCATTCATTGTTACTGATTATTACATTCTCATAAGACCTTCCCTGTACCCCCACCACACCTCAAAAAACCTCATTCCTGGCTAGTCAGAGAGAGAATGGAGTATTTTCACACATAGGTAAGAGTTAATCCAGAAAATATTGCCTTTAGTTTCAAATACTAGTACTTCTTAAGTACTATCTTTGCTTATTAAATGCAGTGTTGCTGAGGCATTTAAAATTTTCAAACAACAGGAAAAATAAAAATCTAGTAAACCATAAAGATTGCTGTGTGCGTAATGTGAAAAAATAACTTTTTGTTGATGTGTATTATAAAGTAGCTTGATTATACTGACCACTTGTATCAAAGCTATTTATTAAAGTACATTTCTGCTTTCATTTGGTAACTTTGGGTTACCAACATTTCACCCTAAAAGGAAGTTTATGGCTGGGTGCGGTGGCTCACGCCTGTAATCCTAGCACTTTGGGAGGCCGAGGTAGGCGGATCACAAGGTCAAGAGATCGAGACCATCCTGGCCAACATGATGAAAAGCAAGTCTCTACTAAAAATACAAAAATTAGCTGGGTGTGATAGTGCGTGCTTGTAGTCCCAGCTTCTTGGGAGATTGAGGCAGGAGAATTGCTTGAACCTGGGAGTTGGAGGTTGCAGTGAGCCAAGATTGCACCACTGCACTCCAGCCTGGTGACAGAGCGAGATGCCGTCTCAAAAAAAACCCGTTTATTTAGAAAAACAAAGCAAATGTTTCTGTGTACAAGGAAAATTATTTTTAATATATACTTGTGTTAAGTAAATAGCTGAAAAGATGGCTTTGGCTCTTAGAAATATTATTCTACATGGACTTTTATGAAGAGTTAAAAGTAACTTTTATAACCTCTAGGTAAGTGGGCTCTTGGTGGTGCTTTAGACTGGTATTTAAACTCAAGTCCTTTCTTGTTTCTGCCCTTTAGAACACAGTACTGTCTGCTTTGCTTACAATATGTAATTCTGCTGGTGAAGCTTTGGATACAGGAAAACAAACTGCAATTATGGAAGTTGTGAGTCAGCTTTGGGCTTTTTTAAACATTAAACAGGTAAGGAAAACAACTGATCCTTTCTTTATCAAAAAACAGAAAATATCAAAAAAAGAGGATAGTACTGAAATTTTCCAGTGTAGAGTAAAATGTATCTCATTCTTTTGGGTGTTTGGTAGACCTTTATAAGAACTTAAAGTATCTGTACTGTCTCAGGCCGCTTTCATTTTCAGAGTGTGATAGAATTATATTAGTAAAATTAGAATACGTGATGTGATGGCAGTCCACCTACTTACTTTCCTAACTGGTTATACCCTCTTCCCTACCCGCGCCCCCCGCCCCTTATCTCTTCCCCTATTGTTTCTGTTCTGTTTTGGGTTAATGTATCCCATTTCTGTGATTCTAGGGCCTTTAATAAATCTTTTGGGCAATGGAGAGTGAGCTGACTTAAAGGTGGAAAGGGCTAGTGAATAGATGTGGCTAATTTCTATTTCTCTTTCCCAGCAAAGCCAAGAAGCCAAGTGATGATCTAAAACTAATGATATGCCTCCCACACCATGGTTGTACACCTGTTTCTTAGTTTAAAAATATAAATAGGCTGTTTGTTTTCTCTGACTAAGTATAACACTGGCCTCTGGCAGCTAGTGGAAGCTAAAGGCAACAGCCATACTTTTGGGAAATGATAGAAATGATTTTACAGATAATGTTTTATTATTATTATTTTTTTATGGTCAGATTGCCCTACTGCATGGTTTTGACTTCAACAAGCACTTTCCCGGATGTTCACAAATCATTCAGTATTCATTCAGGATATCTGTGATGGGGATATAGCTTACAATATTATAACGTAAACCAAAATTATGAAGAAGAGAAATGAAATTTTAAGATGACTAAGGAACATTTATATAAGCCTTTCAGTCACAGACAAGTAATTAGATCCTTTTAGACTTAAATTTGGATTTCAATCACAGCTCTGCTTTTTATCATAGCCACGTGATCTTGAACAAATTTTTTTAACCTCTTTGACCCTGTTTTCTTATCAGTAAAGGTAATAATATCTACCTCATAGAGCTGTTGTAAGGCATAAATGAGGTAATATAAAATGCTTAACATATTACCTGATATATAATAAGTGCTCAATAAAAGTTTGCTATTATTATAGTAATTCTTACGTGATTGAAACTTTTTCTTCAAAATTATTTTGTGTTTCTTAGGTAGCAGATCAACCTTACGTTCAGCAGACATTCAGCCTTTTACTTCCACTGTTGGGATTTTTCATTCAAACTCTAGATCCTAAACTGATAGTTCAGGTAAGAGTAATGACCAAATTGATACTTTGTTTGCTAAGGAGGTTGCTAAATTGCTATCATGTGAAATAGCTTTCTAGAAATAGTTATTTTAAACCTCCTGTTGTGTCATATATTGACTTGTCTTCATCAAGGATATCTCATTTCTCTTCTTTCTTCCTTACAGTATTAATACACAGCGCTGTTAATTCAGCCTTTATCTGTTCTTCGTCACCCCATACTGAGCAGTCAGTACTTTTTGTTATTACTGTTAACTGCCCCCCCACAAACCCCTGAGGTTAGGAGTCGTAGTTCATGTGTTGAACCCTGAGCAGTTTCAAAGGCATTTCAGCAGCTGTGGGAACGCTGAATCGGTTAACCAATATGGATTAAAAGATAGCACCCATTGTTTCTTTGAAGAAATACAATTATTTTGAAAGAAGAGCACTACTGAATTTCCTCTTCGGCCTCTTGAATTTCCTCTTTGGCCTCCAGCTTACATGGCTAGGACAGGCAGAGCCTGGGTCACTGTCTAGGCAACCCTTGTCGTGGTGCCTCAGCTGCGCCTTTCTTTTGGAGGTTCTAAGATGACAGAGAAAATGGGAAAGCCCTTCAGCTAAACCGAAGTGATTTAGAGGCTTTGGAAAGAGTCCATACTAGAGAGAATTGATGCCCCAAATTAAGAGTTAGCTTAAGCTCAGGGTCAGGTAAGAAAGAGAAACAATAACTGTTAAGAGAAACTACCCTTCTTATTTATGAAGATGATGGAAGAGATGATTCCTGTCACAGTATGTGGTAGAACAGAAAGGAATGAAACTTAAAGCTTTGCTTTTAGTAGCTGTTTTTAATGATGTGTATATGAAGAAGTTAGCAATAACAAGTATGTACTATACCATATGTGTAACATGGATTTTACTAATTTATAAAGAATCAGAATACAATAATTAACTCAGTGAATGCAACAATTTGATTCTGATTCTGAAACCTCTAATATTCTTTTAGAAAAAATAATTTTGATATAATTTGCCTACCTTTAAAAAACCCTAACAAAATTCTAAAATTTTTAATTAAGTAGATTGTTCAAAACGTATTGCTTCCTTTATAAAAGATTTCACCTTAAGATTCCCTTAAATTAGGGGTTTGCAAATTATGGCCTCCTGTCTAAATTTTGCCCTCCTGTTTTCAGCCCAAGAGGTAGGCATGATTTTTAAAGGTTTGCAAAATAAAAAATAATATGTAACAGAGAACATGTTGCCTACAAAGCCTAAAATATTTACTATTTGGCCTGTTAGAGAAAAAGTTTGCCAGTCCTTACTAAATAATGAACTTCTCTCAATAGAATTTTAAATACAGGCATACCACAGAGAGATTACAGGTTGTGTTCCAGACCACCACAATAGAGTGAGTCACATGAATTTTTTGGCTTCCCAGTGCATACAGAAGTTATGTTTACACTATACTGCAGGTTAAGTGTACAACAGCATTATGTGTAAAAAATGTATATAATTAAAAAACACTTTCTTGCTAAAAATGCTAATGATCATATGAGCCTTCAGCAAAGCATAATCTTTTCGGTGGTGGAGGGTCTTGCTTCAGTGTTGATGGCTGCTAACCCATCAGGATGGTGGTTGCTGAAGGTTGGGGTGGCCATGGCAATTTCTTAAAATATGACAGTGAAGTCTACCACATCAATTGACTCTTCCCTTCATGAAAGATTTCTCTGTAGCATGTGATGCTATTTGATGGTATTCTACCCACAGGAAAACTTCTTTCAAAAATACAGTCAGTCTTCTCAAATCCTGCTACTGCTTTAACAACTCAGTTTATGTAATACTCTAAATTCTTTGTTTTCATTTCAACAATGTTCACAGCATCTTCTATACCAGGAGTAGTTCTGTGTCAAGAAACCACTTTCTTTGCTCATTCATGAGAAGCAACTCCTCATCCACTCAAGTTTGATCATGAGATTGCAGCAATTCAGTCACATCTTCAGGATCAACTTCTAGTTTGCTAGCTATTTCTACCACATCTGCAGTTACTTCCTCCACTGTAGGCCTGAACCCCTCAAAGTCATCCTTGAGGGTTGGAATCAACTTCTAACTCCTGTTAATGTTGATATTTTGACCTCCTACAAATGAATCATGAATATTATTCATGGCATCTGGAATGATGACTCCTTCCCAGAAGGTTTTCAATTTACTTTGTCCTGGTTTATCGAGGAATCACTATCCATGGCAGCTATAGCCTTATAAAATGTATTTCTTAAACAGTAAGACTTCAAAGTAACAATTCCTTGATTCATGGGCTGCAGAATGATTGTTGTATTAACAAACATGAAAACAATCATCTCCTTGTATATCTCCTTTAGAGCTCCTGGGTGAGCAGGTGCATTGTCAATAAGCAGTAATATTTTGAAAGAAATCTTTTCTGAGCAGTAGGCCTCTCAATAGTGGAATACAAAAAATATTCCATAAACAGTGATATAAACAGGTATGCTGTCATCCTGGCTTTGTTGTTCCATTGATAGAGTACATGCAGAGTAGATTTAGCAGAATTCTTAAGGGCCTTAGGATTTTTTTTAATAGTAAGTGAACATTGGCTTCAACTTTGCCAGCTGCATTACCCCTCAAGAAGAATCTTGAAGCCAGGCATTGACTTCATCTCTCTAGCTATGGAAGTCCTAGACAACATCTTCTTCCAATAGAATGGTGTTTCCTCTACATTAAAAATACATTGTTTAAGGCAACCACTTCCATCAGTGATCTTAGCCAGATCTTCTGGAGAATTTACTGCAGCTTCTTCATCAGCACTTGTTGCGTCGCCTTGTACTTTTATGTTAGAGATTGCTTCTTAAACTTCGTGAGTCAACCTCTGTTAGCATCAAACATTTCTTCTGCAGCTTTTTCACCTCTCAGCTTTCACAGAATTGGAGAGAGTTAGGGCCTGGCTTTGGATTTGGCTTTGGCTTAAGGGAATATTGTGGCCGGTTTGATCTATCCAGACCACTAAAACTTTCCATATCAACAATAAGACTTTCTGTGTTCATTGGAATAGCATTCTTCATTTCCTTCAAGAACTTTTCTTTTGTATTCACAACTTCGCTGACTTGCAAAAGAGGCCTAGCTTTTCACCTCTCTTGACTTTTGACAGCCTTCCTCACCAGGCTGAATTATCTTTAGCTTTCAAGTGAGAGATGAGATTATTCTTTTCACTTGAACACTTAAGAGGCCATTTTAGGTTTAATTTTCATATTGTGTCTCAGAGAATAGGGAAGCCCAAGGAGAGGGGGAGAGACTGGTGACCTACCTGTTGGTAGAACAGTCACAACACACAATTTATTATATTAGCCATCTTATATGGGCACAGTTTGTGGCACCCCAAAACAATTGCAATAGTAACATCAAAGATCACAGATCAACATAATAAAATCCTGACGAATAAGTTGAAATATTGCAAGGATTACCAATCTGACAGCCATGAAGTGAGCACATGCTGTTGCAAAAATGGTACAGGTAGACTTGTTCAGTACAGAGTTGCCATACACCTTGTATTTGTAAAAAAAAAAAAAATACAGTATCTTCAAAGTGCAATAAATCAAAGCACGATAAAATAGTGTCTGTACAAAATATTGTTTAAAGGTTTGATATATAAAGTTTTTCAGGAACATGTATACTTTTATTTTTACAGTGGTTTGAGGCAGGAGGGTGTGGTAAGAATAATGCTGTAATAGTTAACTTGTTCATATGATTGTCTTATTTAAATTCTACCAGTGAAGTTCAGGGGCTGTGGTGTGTTTGTTTTTTTCTGGGTTTGGTTTTGTTTCCCCTCCCCACATTTCCATCCAAATCTTAGGCAGTTACTGTGTCTGTACAAAATACTGGTATTCTTTATAACTGTTCTTTGGTCTTCACCTCTGTAGGTAATAACTTGGCAGACCTCACTACTTAAATTAGAGCCTCCTGACTATGTTCGTCTGGCAATGCTGGATTTTGTATCTTCTCTAGGAAAACTTTTTATACCTGAAGCTATCCAGGTAACTCTGTTCTTAACTCTGTTCTTGTATTATTAAAACAAAATCTCTATAAGAGTTAGTGATTAAGGGATTTTTAGGCTTTTTCTGAAATTTTGCAATTACTGACAAAGTTGGGAAAAAAAAAAAAACTATGTTTCAGACATTCTAAAATCTATTTATAACTTATAATACAACTCATTTTAAGTTCTTTTCTTTTAGAAAAATATATGTTGATACACAAATAATTTTTAGTTGGCTGTAGTCTACCATGTTAGAGTCTCATTCCAGTTGAGTTCTAATGTACAGTTCCTGAGGATAGAAAACGTATTTGTCCTATGGGGAGCAGCACGTAACTAGGAAATTTGGTAATTTATTAAAGTTATTCTCTTCGTTCTTTTATCCATGAAAGAGAACCTGCTTGTTTTTAAAGACAATATTTTTGAAAATGTTGCAAAGTATGTATAGCTGACAAATGGATTATTTATAAAATTGTACTGTACTGGCCTGGCAATACACATCTACAGAATTTTAAAACCTCAGTAAATGTATATTACCAGGCCAGTACAGTAATTTTAAAGAACTTACAGCAAAGAGATCTTCATAAATTGAGAGTTACGCCTTCCTTATTACTATAGTCAGTAGTAATTCTAGATAATTGACACTGCAACCTCCAAGGGAGAGACTATAAGGAGTCCACTAATGAGAATTTTCTTACGTAATCAAAGCAAACACATGATAGTATCTCAGAACAAGTGGATTAAACTCTTTGAAACCAAAAATTTAATTTCTAAGGGGCTCTTTTATTTGTTCATAAGTTAACAGTATCCCATCTGTCTCCATCATGTTAATGTTATATTTCATGAGATAAGCATAGAACGTTGACAGCTTCTTTTCAACTCTCTTGACAAAAATATCCAAAGACACTTGGCATCTGAGCTGTCTTCTTTTTACCATGAAATCTATTCCAAAATGCCACTTCATTTGTGAACCACTGTGGACTATGCACAGGCCTAGAAATTATGAAACAAATGTTTTATAAGCAGAAATTGCAGTGCCTTCTATATTCCCAGGAGTGAGGTCAAGACCTGAAGAAATTTTTGAGATTCATCAGAACATAGGAGGCATTCAAAGCTATGAAATGAGATTGACTGATTTATCCATTTGGGAAAGATTATAAGTTTTTGCCGTATCCAGTGCTGTTTTAATCACTGGCAATGCAGTAATGAACAAAACTAATAAATCCCCACCGTTAGCCTGTTTAGAGGCAATAAACAATAACAACATGGTGATATGTGCAGTATATTAAATGCTGGTGAGTGCCATGGAGAAAAATAAAGCAGGGAAGGAAGATAGGGAATAGGAATGTGGGAGTCCAATTTGAAATGGGATATATAGTCAGTCACCAAGATGACATGCAAGTAAAAACTTGAAGTGCAAAGCATTGCAGATGGGAGCATGCCTCTTGTATTCAGGGAAGCAAGTATAGCTAACACAGAGGTAGCAGGACTTGGCAGGCCATTTGAGGACTTTAGCTTTCACTCGGAGGGAAATAGGGAGCTACTGGAAGGATTTGAGTAAAAGAGTGACATTACCTAATATGTTTTAATGTGTGTCCCCTGGGACAGGATTATGGAAACTTGACAACACTGGGTTTACTGAATGTATGGCTATTTTATGATTATCTATTGTGGTTTCTGTTTCTCTATTATAATAAGGCTTGGTTCTTTTAGGACAGAATTCTGCCCAACCTGTCCTGTATTTTTGCCTTACTGCTAGCTGACAGGAGTTGGCTGCTAGAACAACATACCTTGGAGGCGTTTACTCAGTTTGCTGAGGTAATTATAAAACTGATTTATCACAATGACTTTCAAACCATTTTAATATTTCAAATATTCCAGAACAATCCCAAAACATTTATTGAACTGCTTCTGTATTGCAATCGGAAAATTGTCTGAAGGGTACATTACTCGTTATTTCTTTTACAGCTTCTCAAAATGAGGCTTAGAGAAATGAAGTGAATTTCCTAAGGTCCTCTGAATAAACAAGGACTAGAACAGGCATACACAGCAGGCCTACTGACACAGACACAGTCTTCCAGCAGATAGTATTTTTGGTTCAAATGATAATACATTTCATTTTGTACTATCAGTCATAAAGGTTAGGCTGATGAACCTAAACCTGTAAGATGGGTTGCTCCTTTACTCTTACTGCATTTGCTGTATAGTCATGCCTATGATCATAAGGGAGTCCAGAAGCATTAGTATACCAGCAGAAGTAATGAAAGCCTACAACACTTGTACAGAAGTTAACTTTATATTCTCCTAAGGGACCCTGAAGGAATCATGAGTTTATCACCTTTGAGGATCCTCTGGGACTCTTACTTAAAATGAATTTTTGGTTAAGGTAGCTCATAAAACTCATCTATTTGTCTTTGTAAGTTGTTGAAATATGTTAAAATTGGTCTTGTTCATCAATTTCTTAATAGGGAACAAATCACGAAGAGATAGTTCCACAGTGTCTCAGTTCTGAAGAAATTAAGAACAAAGTTGTATCCTTTCTGGAGAAGGTACTTTCTTTACATGGCTCATGTTTTATTCTTTGTCCTATTTTTTTTTTTTTTGAAATTATGTAACTGTAACCAACCTGAGTATCTTCTTAAACTTTTCAGTGCTCAGCACAGTGTGGACAGACTTTTACTAAGCAGTTGAGGCCACAGAAGTAAAATACTTGGGCCACAGGCACGGTGGCTCATGCCTGTAATCCCAGCACTTTGGGAGGCCAAGGTGGGTGGATCACAAGGTCAGGAGTTCAAGACCAGCCTGGCCAACATGGTGAAACCCTGTCTCTACTAAAAATACAAAAATTAGCCGGGCATGGTGGTGCGCGCCGGCAGTCCCAGCTACTCAGGAGGCTAAGGCAGGAGAATTGCTTGAACCAGGGAGGCAGAGGTTGCAGTGAGCCAAGATCGTGCAGCTGCACTCCAGCCTGAGTGACAGAGCGAGATTGTCTCAAAAAAGAACACTTGTAGTTCCTCTGCCTGTAGTTTGGGGTTTAATAGCACTGATTATCCAGTCAGTGAGATGACTAATGAGGATCCCTAAGCCACTAATAATCATAATTAAATACACTTGATCACATAATTAGGTAGGCCTGAGGGGATGTAAACATCCATATTTTGGGTATAACTTAGGCATGGCTTTTCTTTTTTTTGTGGCAGTCTCCCAAGCCAGGGTAAGCTCCGAGTCTTTTTTTTTTTTAAGGGATGGCTTTTTTATTCTCTTTGCAGCCAAGGCCTGTTTTTACAATTAAAACCAAAATTTTGAATAACAGAGTTCCTATATCTATGCATACTTTGGAACTTAGTGTGAGGAAATAATAGTTAATTGAAATACTAGTGGAACTGTTAAACCACAAATTTTGACTACCCGGAGAAAGTGAATTATTTTATATATTACATGTAATGATGCACATGTTATATATTTTACATATATTACGTACTTTTTTTTTTAGGTGGGATGGGCCCACTTGACTCACTGAACTTTATTTTTTAGACAGAGTCTCGCTCTGTGTCGCCCAGGCTGGAGTGTGGTGGTGTGATCATAGCTTGCTGTAACCTCAAACTCCTGGGCTCAAGCATTCCTCCCACCAAAATCCTGGGATTACAAGTGTGAGCCACCACACTTGGCCTACTTATATTACATCTAAGCTGGATTTTAAGTACATGTGTGTACACTGCTGTTGCTAGTTTCTTAGCTAATACATTAGCAGACTATCATTTTTTCCTGCAAAGACGACTATAACTTTGATTTAATCCAGATTATAACAAGTAGAGTAGAGTGATTTAATCCAGATTATACTAAGAGGATTTATAAGATCAGTCCATGTGACTTCCAGAATTTGCCTAGTATGGCTGAACATTGAGCACTTACATAGATTATGTGGCCATTTCATATCTAGTAGAGTGCTAACATGTTGCTATTTGCTTGGTTTTTCATGGTCCCTGGCAGACTGGGTTTGTAGATGAAACTGAAGCTGCCAAAGTGGAACGTGTGAAACAGGAAAAAGGTATTTTCTGGAAACCCTTTGCTAATGTGAATGTAGAAGAAGCAAAGAGGTCATCTTTACAGGTATGGGCTGATTTCAATAGGGGCCAAACTTTAACAAGGCAAATTCTGCCCTTATTACTTACTGATGAAACAAACCAATGTGGTTTCCAGCCTCATGTTGAATTTCAAATCAAACAGATCTAGACATGTAAAATTCTGTTTTATGGTAGTTGCTTTTAAAAATCAGAAGTGGGACTATACCATACCAAATATATTCTTTCAGTATGTTTGAATTATTGGTAGTAACCTTTAAGGGAAGTTACATATTGTACCAATGATGCTATAAATGCAGTCTTTACTGAACCACAGAAGAAAATGAAAGAAACTTACTCTCCTAAATGTTTAGTTTGATTCCTTTCCTTATTAATCAAATCAGACTCCTAATAATTTTTGGCAGTATCTAAAGATCACATCTGCCTATTAAAAGGCAGAAATTTGACACCAATAAGGATATTCAAAATATTGTTTTGTGCACTTTAGTATAGTAGTAATTCATGAAGAACAACATTCTGATAAGTTTTAGTCAAACTTTCGTAAAAAAATACATTTATGAACTTGTTTATAAGACATGTAAGCTTAGACTATGCAGCACTTCTCATTGGGAGCCCTTTGGGACAGAATACTTGTTGTATACCACATACAAACTAAGACACTAGTAGCAGCACTCTGAATTGCTATGATAAAACCAAAATGGCTTTATATATTTTTCTAGATGACTATGTAGGGGTTTCGGGGTGCACCCTCCTACCTTTGTGATCCAATGACTAGAATAAAATTTGCACGTAACTTTTTTCCAGTCCAAAAGGAAGGTTCTTTATATTTATGATATTACTTATGTTTTTTTTCCCAGCCTTATGCAAAAAGAGCTCGTCAAGAGTTCCCCTGGGAAGAAGAGTACAGGTCAGCGCTGCACACAATAGCAGGGGCCTTGGAAGCAACTGAGTCACTACTCCAAAAGGGTCCTGCTCCGGCCTGGTTTTTAATGGAAATGGAGGCGCTCCAAGAAAGGATGGATAAGCTAAAACGTTATATACATACTTTAGGGTGAAACTTATGTCTGTACATTTTCTAACAAACAGATATAAAACAAATTTTGTAAAGTTGAATCTAGTGAAAATAATCTTTATTTGACATTTAGAGAACAGGATTGTGGGGAATATTCTCATTAAGAACTTTGGTACAATGTACTACATGTGGAACAGTCAGGAACTGCCCAGGTCCACAAAGAACCATTTACTCAGATAGTATAACTGTAAACAAATAAATAAGCTGCCTAAGGAAACCTCAGCAATTTAAAATCATTTATATAATTTATAGCTAAAATTTTTTTAAGTTGTATTTCATAATAGAGCTTACTCTTATGTTAAAGAAATGGCACAAAATTAAGCTAACCAGCTTGAATTCTTACATTTTCTTTACTTCCAGAATTATCCTGGAAAAAGCAGTAAATTTGACCTCTCCTCAGCTACTTGCTCTTCAAAGAAACTGGCCTCAGTCAAATGCACAAAGGCTCTTCCTCCTGGAAACCAGTACTGTGAGCCTCACCCCCAGGGCTTTTAGCCAGCACTCGCAGTCAGTCTCATATTTCTGTTGGTGCAGACTGGATAATGAGCTCCTGGGATGGGAAAAGCAGGCCACTTTGGGGTTTTCTTGTCCCAAAGCCTGCTTTTGAGGTATTGATTTTTTTTTAAAAAAAAAAGGGAATCCTTTTTCCTAAAGTTTAACTCACATCTATTGTCACCAGTTATTATCTTCCCAGTTCAGCTCCCCTTCTTCTTCCCAGCCTTCAGCCTCTCCCTGCAACAAAATAAAGCACACCAAGAACCCACTGAAACAAATCCATATGCAAATTTGAAAAAGCAGGAATTTAAAATTTATCTTTTGATGCCAGAAACACTACCTTGTACTAAGTAAAATAACTTAGAGCTCTAACAGAAAGTTGAAAAGTAGGATTACAAAACCACAGCACTGGAAAATAGCTTTGCAAAAAACATAAAATCAAGTAAAAATCAGTGTGAATGACACCATATCCTTATTTTAATCTTTTTTCAAATAAAAAGGTTAAAATAGCTCATTAAACAAACACTTAGCCTAAAATAGCTCATTAAACAAACACTTAGCCTAAGCATTGCTACATTTTTCTGGGGAAGGGAAGATACCAATGACAGAAACTGATTTTGTTAATTTTGTGCTTGACTTGATGATTGGGAAAATAGCACGTTGCTTGTTATAAATGGGATAGTGCAACTAGGACCTATGAGGGAAATCCTAAAGCTAGTAGCACAGTTTACTCCATAAAAAGTACTCACCTCAGTAATTTCTGCTGCAGCAAATTTTGAGGAAAACTGCATCATTGGGCAGATTTCATCCTTTTTAGGGACCATTTCTGTCCTCAGTTCAGGTAATATAAGAAAAGCAGCAGAAGGCTTAATTTCTGGGATCATATCAGCAAACCAATCCATCTCAGGATCTTTTACTGGCTTCTTTTTCACTTGAATGGTAAATTCCTCTCCTAAACCAAGTTCTGATGGAACCTTAAGAGGCCTTTCTTGTGATGACACTTTTGGCGGCTTGATTTGGTCTGGGTCATCCCCGTTTTGGGGTAGGCTTGATTTCCAAGGCATAGACTCTTCAGTGAGTGGAAGCAAAGCAGGAATGGGCTTCTGCTCCCCTGAGGTAACAGATTTTGTAGCAGTGATTCCACCTCCTGGGTTTACTTTAGTATCTAAATTGCTGGGCTCGCAGTCATCCCAAGATGACTCCTCCATATCCAAGGTAGTGCACTGGGACTTGACAGCATCACATGGTTCTCTATGCCAAATCTGTATGTTGACAGTTTGATTTTCAGGCTCCTCAGGCTCACTCCAGTCAGGCCACTCCTCAGACTTTTTAGAACTTGATGGGAAGTTTTTACTGTCCTCCAAAGTATTTTTTACATCCAAAAGTCCATTTATGGGAAATTTAATAGGCTGAGAAAATGGATCGCCTGTAGGGAAAAGAATTATTCTCATAAAATACTGGTTAAGGGTAAGAAATACATTTAGGGGAAGGATAGCATTAAGGAAGTTTAAGTAGTATAGATCTAATTACTTGGAAATATCCATGCATACTAAACAAAAGAGATCCCAGCACATTACTCAAGATCAATGATGTAACATGTTATCCAAATAATTATATAATACTTATATTATTAACTCAGTGGAAGCATGTAAGTAATACCTAGCACATTCAATCCTTATTAAATAGCTAAACATATAGTATACTGACATAATTATCTATACATAAATATAGAAATGCTCTAAGCCAGGCAGTGTTATCCTTGGGATGTTAATTACATATGCCTGAAAAAGTCTTGCATGCTCGAATAAGTTTGCCTAACTCAACTTATTATCCTCACTTTAAGCAGATTTCCCTAAGTGTAGTAGTTAAGGCACTGAGAGATCCTGTGCAATGTGTTAATGACTTTGCTCTCATTTCCCCAAACTCATTTAACCACAAAACTCTTTTTCACAACACGCCCATTAACATCTTTCAAAACTATCATTCTTGGTACAATTTGGAAGATGCCGCACTAAGGCATCAGAAGTCTTTTTTTTTTTTTTTGAGATGGAGTCTCGCTCTGTCGCCCAGGCTGGAGTGCAGTGGCCCGATCTCAGCTCACTGCAAGCTCCGCCTCCCAGGTTCACGCCATTCTCCTGCCTCAGCCTCCCGAGTAGCTGGGACTACAGGCTCCCGCCACCTCGCCCGGCTAGTTTTTTGTATTTTTTTTAGTAGAGACGGGGTTTCACCGTGTTAGCCAGGATGGTCTCGATCTCCTGACCTCGTGATCCACCCATCTCGGCCTCCCAAAGTGCTGGGATTACAGGCTTGAGCCACCGCGCCCGGCCAGAAGTCTTAAAGTATCAGTGCAAAAAAGAATTCAAGTAATGTCAACCTGCTTTTCTCACCAATTACAAAGAAGAGGTAAGTATATATCCAACAGTCTGGAGAAACAAGATGAGACCAAAGCTGACTATATAGTTACAAATAAATCAGTCTCAAAACTCCCAAAACACCCTTAAGCTTATTAGTCTCAGGAAAACATTCATCCAAGCAATGGGAAAGCTATATAAATTTAATATTTCTACCTGTCTGTAAAAGAGTATTGTAGTAATCTCGCTGTATGTGCTTCTTGCTGTTGATGGGCATGCTGCCAGAAAAGAAACATTTAGGGAATATGCTAGAGAAGGGGTTCTCCAAGACTGGCGAGATCTGACTGTGCTTGCTGCAGACGACACGCATAGAAGAATCTGAAGGTAAATAAAAACTCCAAAACATGAAAGGGACAGTAAATTGCTTCTTGATCTATCACATGGTTGGTGGGCATAAGTTAAGTGAAATGGGTATATTTTAACACAGATAAAGGCTAAAATGCAGGAGAGAACATCTTCAAACATTTGAAGACATACACCCATTATGGAATGGACTGCCTGTCCCTAGAGGTGTTTAAGAACAGGCTGTGTCCACTCCATGTGGTGGTGATGAATAGAAAGGATCCAAGCATTATATAGATACAACCTTTGGGACACCTAGTTTAAAAATTACAGCCCTTCAAAACATGTTGGTGGCGATTTAAAACCAACTAATTCTACTTACTTTCCTTTTAAGAATAAAAGTTGAAGCGTATAAGCACAAGAATATGAATGTACTGAATACCACAAAACTATACACTTAGTAGTAGTTAAAATAATAAATTTAAGCTATGGACATTAACACCAACTGGGGAAAAAGTTTCAAGAAATGTCCTTAACGGTTTACCAGAAAGTTCATAATAAAAAAATGGGCATTGGTCAAAATGATTCAATAAAATTTTGGCTAAAAAAAAAAAACGATGTGGGGAATGGCCTGGGGTAAATTCTTACAATTAGGTCCCCAGCTCTCTTCAGCAGCACATCTCCCCTCCTCACCCCAGCCCTCTAAGGCCAGGCCTCTACAAGCCCTTCACTCTTATTTGTGCCACTGTCCTCCTTGAAGTCCTATCTAATGTCTTATCGATGTCGTCTTCTCTGAACCATGTTCTCTACCTCTCTTTCAGGCAGACTTAATTTCCTATTTCCCTCTCATAGCTGAAAATGAGATCACAGACTCTACATCACCCTTTACAAGCTCTTTGCAGCCACGACACTGGTTTCATTAGCACCAAGGAAGAGGTGAACGCTCTTCAAAACTTCAGGAAGCCAATGTTGCTTTAAGAATTCTTTTAGCATCAAAATTAGAGAAAAGCCTATCTGATAACTCTTTTCTATTAAGTGTCTCCATGTTACCAACTATCAATGAGAACTGGGTTAGAGATCCAGAATTACATAACAAGGTCATTGTCTTATTGAAGGCTATACAAACGAGCAATGACATTGTTGATAAAAAATTCTTGTAAGACCAGAAATTACTGCTACCTCCCAGGAAACATCCACTGGGAACATACCAGAAATAAGGACTTCCTGAAGTATCTAAAAGTCAACAGCTTTTTACCCCATAGGCCAAGAAAAGTCACAAGAAACTTAAACATCTAGTGTTAATAAGAATTGATGCAACCTTTTTGTAAGCTGACAGTATGTACTAAATTTAAAATACATCCTTTGGCCCAGCAAGTTTACTTCTGACATTCAGTGTCTGCAGATGCTCAAGTCTCTTAAAGAAAATGATGTAGTATTTAAATATAACCTATGCATATCATCCCATAATACTTCAAATCATTTCTGGGTTACTTATAATACCTTTTTTTTGGTTTCTTTTCTGAGTATTTTTGATCCACAGTTGGTTGAATCTGCAGATGCAAACCTGCAAATATGGGGGACCAACTGGAAAGATACATGTATAAAGATATTCATTGCAGCACTGTTTATAGTGATTACAAATCCAGAAATGGATGCAGTATCCATGAATAAAGAAATCACTGAATGAGTTATGTTCAATGAAATATTAGGTAGCTTTCAAAGAGTAAGTTAGACTTCTATGTATTGGGGGACAGGTCCCTGATATGTTGTTACACGAAAACAAGTTAAACAAGTTATAGATTTGTGCATGACATTTTCTTACCATTTAAACAAAAATCCTACACAGTCTTGTGTCACTTAACAATGGGGATATGTACTGAGAAATGCATCTTAGGCGATTTTGTCCTTGTACAAACATCATAGATGGTATAGCCTACTAACACCTAGGCTATAAACTGATACAGCATGTTACTGTACTGAGTACTGTAGGTAATTGTAACACAGTGGTAATTATTTGTGTATCCAAACATAGAAAAAGTACAGTAAAAATATAATGATACATGGTATACCTGTATAGGGTATTTACTATGAATGGCATTTGTAGGACAAGAAGTTGCTGAGTTACCAGTGAATGAATACAAAGGCCTAGGACACTACTGTACACCATCATACGCTTTATAAACACTACACTTAGGCTGCACTGTTTATTTTTATTTATTTATTTTTTTGAGACAGAGTCTTGCTCTGTTGCCCAGGCTGGAGTGCAGTGGTGCGATCTTGGCTCACTGCAAGCTCTGCCCCCCAGGTTCACGCCATTCTCCTGTCTCAGGCTCCCGGGACTACAGGCACCCGCCGCCATGCCTGGCTAATGTTTTTGTATTTTTAGTAGAGATGGGGTTTCACCGTGTTAGCCAGGATGGTCTTGATCTCCTGACCTTGTGATCTGCCCACCTCAGCCTCCCAAAGTGCTGGGATTATAGGTGTGAGCCACCACGCCCAGCCAGGCTACACTAAGTTTATTTTAAAAATTTCTTCAATAGTCTTAGCTTACTATAACTTTATAAACTTTTTTATGTTTTTAACTGACTCTTTTGTAATAACACTATGCTTAAAACATATTGTACAACTGTACCAAAATATTTTCTTTATATCCTTATTCTGTAAGCTTTTTCTGTTTTTAAAATTTACTTATTTTTACTTTGAAACTTTTTTGTTAAAAGCTAAGACACAATCACACACATTAGCCTAGGCCTACACAGGGTCAAGATCATCAATTTCACTGTCTCTGACCTCCCCAGCTGTCATGTCCTCTGAAAAAAATGCCACCTTCTGGATTATCTCCTGAAGGACCCCCTGGAGTCTGTTTCACAGTTAAACTTTTTTCTTTTTAAATCAGAAGGAATACACTAATGATTAAAAGTATAGTAAATATATAAATCAGTTACATAGTCATTTGTTATCATTACCAAGTATTATGCACTGCACATAACTGTATGCACTATACTTTTGACTGGCAGCACACTAGGTTTGTTTACACCAGCATCACCACAAACACATGAGTAATGCATTCCACTACAGCTACATCAACTGCCAATAGCGATTTTTCAGCTCCATTATGATGTCATGAAACCACCATGGTATAGACAGTCGGTCATTTACGAGGTCCTTCACTGACCAAAACGTCCTTATGTGGTACACAACTCTATGCATGTGTAAACATATATTTGTGTCTTTTTGCAAGCTTAAAAAAATGAGGCGGGCGGGTGGTCAAGCTGTAATCAGCACTTGGAGGCCGAGACGGGGATCACGAGGTCAGGAGATCGAGACCATCCTGGTACACGGTGAAACCCGTCTCTATAAAAAAACAAAAACTAGCGGGCGAGGTGGGGGCCTGTAGTCCAGTACTCGGGAGGCTGAGGCAGGAGAATGGTCTAACCGGGAGGCGGAGCTTGCAGGAGCTGAGATCCGGCCACGCCCCAGCCTGGGCGACAGAGCAAGACTCTGTCTCAAGAAAAAAAAAAAAAAATGAAAGGATTTCCACTGAAAAGCCCCTCCAGAAGTTCAGAAAAGGAAATTAACTTTTTATTTATGCTTCTTTATATCATTTGACTGAATATGACCCTCCTACATTACTTATATATTAAAAATCTAAAAAAATAACATACACAAAAAGCTAGACCTTTTAATAATTCTTACCTTCTAGAGAAAGGTCAATATTTTTAGTAAAACTTGGGGCAGTGCGTTTGAAGATCTTGGTTCGTTCTCCTCCCACAACCACCTCTGGTCCAAGTAGGGAGACCAGCACTGCTAGGCTATGCAGAGTAATTGCCACAATGGAATCGCTAGTATCACGCAGGCCCAGCAAAACCTAGGAGCAAATGAGGTAATAAGGGTTGACAACCACAATACCTATCTCTTTCTTCCCCTGTAAATGAGCATTTGGGCTGCAAACAGATTGTGCTTATTCAGATAAACTACATTATCTTAGATATGTGTTCCAGGTCAGTGGCTCTCAAACTACCTGTGGTAAAAGACCAGTATCTTCCCCTCCCAATCCATCACAGACTTACCATTTTTAAAAAATACAATCAAAACAAAATTAAAAAGACATATGTTGGGGACATAAAAATACTGTCAAATTGCTACAAAAGGTTTTAAATGTTAAGTCTTCATATCTGTACTCACATCACAGAACTGTAATAAACAGTTCACATACTGGCAGTGTTTTGCAGAGCACACTCAGAACTCGTCTAGGGCACTAACAGTTATGTTCCTGCCCATGCTCCTCTTTTCAGCTCTTTTCAAGGGTAGGACCTTAAAACCTCCTTTGTAAATGATGCATGTAACACCCGTCCCAAACTAAGCCCATTACGATCTCTTGTCCAGTAATATAAACTAGAATTTTTACTTTCAGTTTAGGTTTACTTAAAATGAGGACACTATGCCAGGCAGTGTCACGTGCCTGTAGCCCCAGCTATTCAGAAGGCTGAGGCAGGTGGATCACTTGAGCCCAGGAGTTCTGGGCTGTAGTGTGCTATGCCGCTTGGGTGTCCTGCACTAAATTCAGCATCAATATGGTGATCTCCCAGGAGCTGGGGACCACCAGGTTGCCTAAAGAGGGGTGAACCAGCCCAGGTTGGAAATGGAGCAGGTCAAAGCTCCTGGGCTGATCGGTAGTGGGATCATGCCTGTGAATAGCCATTACACTCTAGCTTGGGCAACACACACCCCATCTCTAGAAGAATTTTTTTTTTTTTTTTTTTTTAATGAGGACAGAAAACTTGGAAGTTATGGGACAACCGTGTTTGGCCATGTGCACACCAAAACAAGGAAAGCTGGTCTTCAGAGAGTCAAAAGTCAAATGCAGAGAGAAGAAAGGAATTAAAAACATATGGCTGTAAGCCCCAGCTGCACTTGATTTCCATCTAAGGTAGTCTAACATTTATTAAATTTTTTGTTTTTTGCTTTAGCTGGTTTAAAATGAGTTTCAGTTACTTGCAACCAAAAACACCTTAGAAGACAGTAACATACAGATACCAGGCAAGTACTGCTCTGCAGAGAAGGAAGGAAATGACCTTCAAAGCATCTGCACCAGCCAGACACAAGGCCAGGGTAACTGGCCTGCCTAGTGGAAGCAGCAGGCTGTGATAGGTATCAGGAATCTTTGGTTTTGGTCTTAGCTCTGCTAGTAATTCTCGATGTGACTTGACCAATTGGTCTTTTTATTTTTCTGGCCTAGTTTCCTCATTTATATAGTAAGATCAAAGGTTTCAAACAGGACTCAAAAGATAATTATTAGGACCAATGCTAACAGATCAGGCACTTTCTGTACATGTAAACTAAAGCATGTTTCTTTTACATATTAGAGTTCTACCCACTGAATATGATAATCATAAAACAATCCCCCAAGCCAAAAATCAGTCATCCTCAACACTTCTTCCATCTAATGAGAAACTGTGTACTACCCCTTCTATATCCACTGTCACACTTTCCCTAGCCTTTGTCATCTTAGCTAAACTATTCTAACAGCTTCCTAGCTTATCTCCCTTTCTGTGTTCTCTCTTCCATACTGCTACCAAAGTGAACTTTCTAGCACACACAAATTGGCCCACTCTTCTTTAGGGGAAGCGGTTTCCTAAGTATTGACAGCTTTCATTGCCTTCCACATGCTCAACACTTACTCTCTGACCTCAGTCCAATTCTGAGACCTATGATGACACCTCCATGTCAGAGTTAAGACTGCTTCATTCCTCTTCTAAATTTCCAGACACAACTACATACTGGGTAAGAATTACTGCTACAGATGTAAATACAAAGTGCTATGTTGTAGTTACTACAACATAGTGACTTTAAAGTCAGCCCCCTGTGAATCACACCTCCAGTATCCATGCCCTTGAGTGAACCCATCCCACAATGAGCCTGGGCTGACTTTTGCAACTCTAACCGAGAGAATGAGGCAAAAATGGCTGTCAGTTCACAACCTACACTTTAAGGCTTCTTTTGCCCCCTTTTTTTCTTTAGCCCTGGCCATCCATTTAAGAACTCCACCTACCTTGCTAAAGAAATCATGTGTGTGGGGAAAAGAAAGATCAGACTTACTGTGTCTATGTAGAAAGAAGTAGACATAAGAGACTCCATTTTGTTCTGTATTTGAGATGCTGTTAATCTGTGACCCTACCCCAACCTTGTCCTTGCAAGAGACGTGTGCTGTGGTGACTCAAGGTTTAAAGGATTTTGGGCTGTGCAGGGTGTGCTTTGTTAAACAAGTGCCTGAAGGCAGTATGCTTGTGAAAAGTCATCACCATTCTCTTAATTTCAAGTACCGAGGGACACATACACTGCCAAAGGTCGCAGGGACCTCTGCCTAGGAAAGCTAGGTATTGTCCAAGGCTTCTCCCCATGTGATAGTCTGAAATATGGCCTCGTGGGAAGGGAAAGACCTGATCGTCCCCCAGCCTGACACCCGTGAAGGGTCTGTGCTGAGGAGGACTAGTGTAAGAGGGAAGGCGGCCTCTTGGCGGTTGAGATAGAGAAAAGCATCTGTCTCCTGCCCCTCCCTGGGCAATGGAACATCTCGGTGTAAAACCCAATTGTATGTTCTGTTTACTGAGAAAGGAGAAAACCGCCTTAGGGCGAAAGGTGGGACTTGCTAGTGCAAAGCTGCTCTTAATGCACTAAAAGGGTTTATGGAGATGTTTACATATGCATATCAAGGCACAGCACTTTTCCTTAAACTTATGTCACAGAGATCTTTATTCATATGTCTTACTGCTGACCTTCTCCCTACCATGATCCTATTATCCTGTCACTTCCCTTTTTCTAAGATGGTAAAGATAATTACCAATAAATACTAAGGGAACTCAAGACCGGTGCTGGCGTGGGTCCTCTGTATGCTGAGCACTGGTCCCCTGGGCCCACTTTTTCTTTCTCTATACTTTGTCTCTGTGTCTCATTTCTTTGCTCAAGTCTCTCATTCCACCTAACAAGAAACGCCCGCAGGCCACCCCTTCACATGTGGAAATGTCACTTTGGGGGACAGAAGCCCCAGGGCTCCCCGAAAATTCATGGAGAGAAAGGCCCAGCCTTGCAGCCACCCCTTCCAAGATACCAAGGAGCCATTTTGGATGTGTCAACCCTTGTCGGGCCCCAGATGACTGAAGCCTCAGCTGGTATGTGGAACAGAACCTTCAGCTGAGTCCAATCAATCCAAAGAATCATGAGAATAAAATGATTGTTGTTTTAAGGCACTAAGTTTTGGGGTAGTTACACGGCAACAGATGACTGAAACATGTCCCACTTACGAGCTCCTTGAAAGCAGAGAGAATGTTAATCTATCTCACAGGAAAATTATTTGAAAGACACCATGTGATTGTAGTCTTTTAAAACAATTTTTTAAAAACTTCATACTAGATTGAATAGTGTCCCTCCAAAATTCATGCCCATGCAGAATGTGACCTTTATACTGGGTTAGGGTAGGCCATAAATTCGATGACTGGTGTCTTTCTAAGGCCATGTAAAGACAGACAAGGAGGTAAGAAGGCCACGTGACAACAGAGGCAGAGGTTGGAATGATACAGACAGAAGTCAAGAAATATCAAGGATTGCTGGGAGCTATGAGAAGCTTGTAAGGAGGAGTCCCTTTCACATCCCACAGCCTTCAGAGGAAGCAGGGTCCTGGTGACACCCTGGTTCTAGACTTCTGGCCTCCAGAACTAAGAATTTTTATTGCTTTAAGCCATGCAGTTTGTGATAATTTGTTATGGCAGCCTAAGAAACTAATACAAACCTTTCATTAGTTTCACTAACAAAACACTTCAGTGGGCAAATCATAATAAAGTTCCCTAGTGGCTGATAACAACAGGCTGAAAGCCACTGATACAAATCATCTCATGTTCCTCTCTGTTCTAATTTAATTACTTTATAATAATTATGGATAATTACACTTTATGTTCACAAAGCGCTCCATATATTGTTATTCATTTACCCTTCTGAAATTAGCAAACAATTATAGTTTTTCCCAGGTTAAGACCAAATATGTCAGTTTAATCGATTTGCCTGTGTGAATGGAATGGAAATGCAATTTTAATTTCAGCACTTTGTATTCCACAGACTGCTGCCTCAAGGCTTTGTAAGCTATTATCTGAATACCTCCAAACCTCCTCCTTTCAGCACTCTTTCCTCAGGTTCTGTGACTACCCCACTGCAAACTTGGCCTCTGACCTGTGGCAAGATGACTTTCTTCAGCTGCTCCTGAGTGAAGTGCTCCACGTAGGCCTCGATGTGAGACAGCAGCACCATCCGCACATGCTCTTCGTGAACTTCGAACAACTGGAGAAGCACGGGGATCACCCGTGACTGGAACAGGGCTGGTGAGAGCAAGCAAGGAGTTTCTCCCTGCGCATGATCTACCCGAAAAATCAAAGGTTATAGATGAAAAAACAAATATTCATTTCAGTGAAGAGTATTAAGCATAATTCATGCACTGGGCCCAAAAGTACACATATTCTAAGTACTCTTCTAAATTCTTTTTTTTTTTTTTTTTTTTTTTGAGATGGAGTCTCACTCTGTCACCCAGGCTGGAGTGCACGGCGCGATCTTGGCTCACTGCAACCTCCCCCTCCCAGGTTCAAGCAATTCTCTTGCCTCAGCCTCCCGAGTAGCTGGGATTACAGGCACCTGCCACCACAGGCTAATTTTTGTATTTTTAGTAGAGACGGGGTTTCACCATATTGGCCAGGCTGGTCTCAAACTCCTGACCTAGTGATCCGCCTGCCTCGGCATCCCAAAGTGCTGGGATTACAGGTATGAGCCACCATGCCCGATCAGCCAGTACTCTTCTAAATTCTAATGCTCTAAACCAAAGGAAAGTTCTTTTCTTGACCCAAAATTACTTAACGCTTAATTATGTTAAGTACACTTATCTGTAGAGTTTCTGAAATACTAGAGATCATACTTAGTGTAAAACAAAGCTGGTATTTTAATAGAATTCTGAGTAACTTTTTATAAATTTATGTTTAATCAGTGAGGAATTTCATACACTAGATTTGTGACATACTGATATTGTTGTAGTGTATTTGCAAAACCAGGTGTTAAATGCTACAGTGGGACTTTGATGCTGGATAGTCCTCTTTTTCCAGTATTTATGGTAGTGGTTATCAGGCAGGTATGCATTGAGAATTATTTGGGAACTTTTAAAAAATATGTATACCTATGTCCTGGCTCTGTTCTAGAACCAATGGATCAAGCAAAGAGGCAAATTTTTAAAAAGCAACATAGGCGATTCAGAGGCACACCCCTATGTAAGACCTACTGAGGAATAGGATGTCAGAGCTATAAAGAAAAATTCGTGGCTAAAGAGAATGATATCAAAGTAGAGATATAAGGAAATTCTAAACTGTAACAAAGCTTTGTTGGACTGAGATCCTTTTAAGAAAATAAATTCTGAAAGCAGGATTCTACATAACTTAAAATTCTAGTGTTATATTAATACTATATTCTCTAATCTGTTGTGTTACCATCTATAGTGCTATAAAATTGTAAAATTCCAAAGCAATAACCTCATTTCACATTCGGAAAAAAAACCCTTGAAGTCCCAAGAAGTAAAATGATCTCAGTGCTTTTCACTGAAAATAGAAAATAAATGGGTTGGTCTTGGTAAGGTAGGAGGTACAGGCCTAAATGATTCATGATAAATGTGAAAGTTCTTTGAAGATGCATGCCTTACCTTAAAACTTCAGATGTATATTTCAGATTCTAGTCAGATGTAACACTTATTATAGTAAATTGGACTCTCTAGGAAGATGCTTCATTTATCCTGTGGACTTTGGTACCCAGGTTTGAAAATTAAAGTTATCACATCAGGGGCCAAAAACTGTTCTCTGTTTTTAGAACCAAACATTAACTACACCACACAGTAATTTCATCCTGCTCAAATATGGACTAATAATCACCAAACTCCTTAACTAGCAATAACACTTTGAAAAAGCATTCACCTTTTTTGGGGCCAAGCAGATGAGGAAGAAAACTCTTAACAGCCACTGGCTCTGCAAACACCAACTGATTAAGCAGAAGAGGCACCAACCTTGAAGCTATCAATTCCTCTGACAAGCAGCTGACTCTGTCCAGCAGAAATCTGAGGACAAAAAGGGAAAGCCCAGGAAACTGGTCATGACACTGTATCAGCTTACTTGTACAGTTTAGCCTACACACAGCTTCTCTCTCACTTCTATCAAAGTGATGCATTTTGAAATGGAGATAGAGAAGGTGAACAGATTGGTCCCCAAGTACTTAAGAAAAATGCATGGCTGGGTGCAGTGGCTCACACCTGTAATCCCAGCACTTTAGGCGGCCAAGGCGGGCAGATCACTTGAGGTCAGGAGTTTGAGACCAGCTTGGCCAACATGGCGAAACCCCATCTCTACTAATAAAGTACAAAAATTAGCCAGGTGTGGTGGCAGACGCCTGTAATCCCATCTACTTGGGGCTGAGGCATGGGAGGCTAAGGTTCAATCACCTGAAGCTGGGAGGCAGAGGTTGCAGTGAGCTGAGATCACACCACTGCACTCCAGCCTGGGTGACAGTGAGATTCTGTCTCAAAAAACAAACAAACAAAAAAAACAGGAAGTGTGAGGCAAAGCCAGCTAGTAGCATACCTCCAATTCACACCAGGAAATGTTTCCACCAAATTATCCCCTTACTAATAGCCAAAGTGCCCTCCTTTTTACCCTAATAAGACAGGCTTTCTAGATTATTATCTAAAAGTGTCTAAAAGACACTTTCTCAAATTTAAACAATGTAGAAAGTTTCCATAACTAACAACTTATAGGCTTTTGTCACTATCCTCATAAATTAAAACAACATATATAAAAGCACTTTGTTAAAAATACAGATATTAGGTATTAATGGTAATATTACTCCATTATACAATCACCCTTAGCAGATATCCTTGCCTCCTACTTTATTAGGAAATAGGTCACATGCATTATCACGTTCAAACCCCTACACCACTATCAGCAAACAGGTTTGTATTGATACTCATTCCCACCTCCATTCCAGTTATCAAGGTTCCAAGGGCCTCCTCTTAAGGCCACCCCCATCCAGTCACTGCCCCAGCATTCCCCTCTCTTCCAGGACAATGCACTAACAGTTCCCCAACTTGACTGCAGTTTCAACTACTCCCTCCATTCTTCTGCTAGCCCCTTTCCCTCGTCTATTTATATGCTCAGGTCTCTTCTACCCTTACAAAATGCTTCCTTGACTCCATTTGCTTCTTCAGTGATAATATTTTCTCTCCAAGTTTTTCTCCAGTGTCTTTCTCACCTTCTGTTCACTTACCAGCCCAATGCATTCTCACTGCTGGAACAGCTCTTGCTAAGATAAAGTTACCAGTGTCTTCCTAACTGCTAAATGAACAGGTACCTGTTGATTCCTCCTACCTTTGTGAAATTCCCTACTCCTTTGGGAATATCATAGCCTTCCTAGCTCTCTGAGTCTCCTCTAACCCCTGCTTCTCATTCATCAGCCAACCCTTCCCACCAGCCACCACTTCCCACCAGCCCCCTTATAAGGTTGGGTGCCCTAGGATTACAACTTGGGCCCACTGTCCTTCATGCTACCCACTTTCTCTGTGAAAATATCACCAACTACAGGCTGACACACTAATATTTCCCTCTAGCTCATCAGCTTAAGACTTTTCTCAAGCTTCAGACCTGTCTGATCAACTGTCCATTTACATCTCTGTCTAAAGTCCAACCGATACTTCAAACCAACATATCCAACACTGAAGTCATAATTTTCCCTGCAAATTAGGCCCTCTCCTCCAATATTCTCTATTTCATTTGGTGATAATCACTAAGGCTTCTCAGCTTTATCATTTTAAACCTTTATTTTAGTGTCTTCTTCGTTGTAGACATTAATGCCCTTATGTGTGGCTTCATATTTACTGCCTGGACTACCATAGTCTACTAACCAATCAAAATCTTAAATGAGTTAAGCCTTCCCACAATAGAGAACAAAGTGATCCACCTAAAGGGACATTAATCTGTTTGGCAGCCTGCTTCCACCTCTTTGATGGCTTCAATGCCTGAAGTCCCCTATTTACAAATAATGTCAGCACTCCTCACTGCCACATGGGAGGGGTACCTCCTACCTGTCCTTATCTTGGAATTTCTGCCCCAGCAGGACTCAACTGCTTGCGGTTCCTGCACAAGTCACACTAGGTCTTGTCTTTGTGCATTTGTTTATGTTGCCCCTCTGCCTAGAATACCTTTTCTCTAACGACCTCCTCCTGCCCTGTGTGTTCTCAGGACTCCTTCCAAAAGCTCTACTGTACCCACCTCTCTGTTTAAGGATTATCAGTCTGGGTACCTGTTTCCTTCACCAGAAATATCTATCCCAGGGCCTAGCAGAAAGCCTGACACATAGGAAATGTTCAATAAATGTGAAATAAACCAAATATCTGAGTCATCTTCTCTAGAATACCTCAAGTGATTACATGGAGTTAACCCAAGTTATTCAATTTAAATTCTTAATTTTCTGAACTTACTTAAAGAATTCCGTTTTTTCCTCTTCACTCTTCAATGTTAAACTTTTCAAGAAATTCACAACTTCCAGAAAATCATTTCTAAATGCCAAAAAGAGAAGGAATTCAGCAGAACAGATTAGAGAAGGCATGTTAAATATTGAGGCCATAACCACAGACTACATCAACATAATTTTAAACAAAGAAACATTCTCCTTTGCCATTTAAAGATTCTATTACAACTAAGTAGCTTGTGAGACAAATACTACGGAACAAGCCTCTATGAAATCTAACATTTTAATATCAAAGAGATCTGTGAAGAGGATACAAGTTTAAACACACATATGCTAACATGCTTTATGGTTTCGTCAGAAAAATCCTCCAAATTGTTGGTTGTAATAGGATGTTAAATGAAATATCCTGGGAGAAATGACATTACCATTACAAAATATTGCTGACTCTCCAGTCTCCTTTGATGAAATAAAAACTATTAAAGAGGTTGTGGAAAGTGGAATTTCCATACAGCAATCTTCTCATTTCTCCTGCTGTAATTTGCTTGGTCATTCTTTCAGCCAAGCAGGGATTAGTGCGAGAGGAGTGGTCAGTTTCCTACAGGGCTGCCAGAGAATTCCAAAGGCTGTGCACTGCTCAACTCACATCCTACTGAGACTGTTGACCCCAGATGCTACGGCATACAAGCTGGACATTCTATTCAGAGGCCCAGTAAGCAGAGCTACCACCTGGGTCTCCACATCTTATGTTTATACCTATCTTAGGCTTCCCCTGGTTCAGCAGCAAAGATGTCTTAACTTAAATCTAATCAGTCAAATTGGTTCAGCTGCCTCTGTAAGGGATGCTGACCCTGGCTCCTACTGTTGTCTCTTGACTGGGGTTTCTCCCCACATTAACAGTGGGATTTTGGCAGGTGGGGTTTGTGTGTTTTCAGCTTTCTTCTCCCCTCTCAATTTACAACTCTTAATAACTCATTTTACACATAGTGATGAGAGAATCTATTTACCGTAAGGGATTGTTCTTTGTAGAGACTTTCTATCAAGGGAAATAAAATATTTCTAAGAATCATCCAAAAGGGCATAGAAATACCTTGGAAAGATTCTCATAGTGATAAATATGTAAAATTTATGTCAATTAAAAATACAAATGTTTAAAAACATCCTCAAAATGATGATCATAATGGGAAAAATTCTGAATAGTTTCTTTGAAATATAAATGACAATATAATCCCAGTGACCACAAATGCTACTTATTTAATAAGATTACCCTCCCCACCTGCCCCTAGTTCTATCCTAGAGGTAATTTTCCCCACTTGGGAATAATATTAGCCTTCCCTTTGCTCTGGTTTTTCCCAAGCTCTAAATGCAAACACATAGGGTTTTTAGTTTTAAAACTGACATAAGGTTGGCTTTGCTAATAAAAGTCATGAATATGGAACTAACCTGTGCAGAAGTTCTGCAGTCATGGAAATAAAAAAATGAAGGACACATAATTAAAACTAACCTTGAAGAGGGGGTCAAAAACATCTCTGAATCTAATAAAGTATTAAATTATATTGTGCCCTTCCCTCTAAACCGACTTCTTTGCTCTTCCATCACATACTACTAGACAAAGAAAATGAACTCATTCACCATCCCCATGAGAAAAAAATAATAATAAACTCATAATATAATGGCAGCAGAAAAGAAAGGCTAGGTTTAATAACTTTTTCAATTAACTTACAACTGTAAACCAGTGGACACACCTCGCTTCTTCACTATTAGAAGCCCTAATAAAGCTGGCTACAATTTCTAAATCCAAGCCTTCAAGACAATAAAGGATTTCTAAAACTTCCTATCTATAATAGGAAACTGACGGACAACCCAATTTCTTCCCTATTTTCTCCTGTGGACATGATTCAATCTCTCCTAATAATTAACAACAGAAACTGCATCATTTAGTCCTCCAAAATCCCCCACTGGCACTTATCCAAGGTATGAGAGCAGGCAGCAGTGTTCCGGAAGCAGCCAGCGTCACCACACCAGATGCCCTCACCTGAAGAACTCATGAGATAGTAAGGTGCAGAGCGCTGGCCGACAGTTTGGAATGGGATTCAGCAAAGTTGAGTGCAAGGTCTGTTGAAAGCTGGAGAGAACATCCGCTGAAACTGAAATCCAGAGCTACAATTAGTTTCCAATGCCTTCTCCCTCTTTTCAGGACCTCTATAGCTGGAGACTGCCGAAAGCAAAAACCAACCTGTAAAAGCCCAAACAAACAAAGCCCTGGCTGTTGCTAAACAGCTTCCTACTTGCCTTAGGCATAACTCCTTGGCAGGTGTAGAAAGTTGTCCTGCCACCACCATCAAACCCCACCCCAAGTGCCATTTCCTTCTATTCCCTCTCATTTCCTGATTATTCATTTAACCCAGCTCAGGCCCAAAGAAGAAGGGCTAACAGTGTGATAGGTTTCAGGGCCTTTCTCAACAGGGGTTCCTCATCCATAGAACAGTTATATGAACGATTATATTTACAGTTCTTCCAAGGATAGTAAATAATTGCTACCATTCTAAATACACAAAATAGTTAGTTCATTATACACAATGGATGCCTTTGGGCCTTAGGGTTTAATTCTCAAGTATTTGGGATGGAACAATTTAGAGCTGACAGCTGAATCAGAACACTGCATAAGCCTGGCAGAACAAACTGCATTAGAACTGGCACAAAGCTTGAGCTATGTGAGATGTAGGCCAGTAAGGGGCCTACTGTGACACATGCCTCAGTAAACTCAATGAGTGGAAAATTAAAGTCCTACAGTGGGCACAGGAGAGTGAAGCAGGCTGCCAAGCATGCAATTAGAGAACACAGAGGAGAGGAGAAAACAATGTCCTTAGTGGCCTGAGCTTTAAGAGGCAATGAAAGAAAAAAGTGAAGAGTAAATTAAAGTAATAGGAAAATAAATCAAATGAGCTTTGAAAGAATAGAGAAATGTTAAGCCCAATTTAACAAAAAATTATGAATTTTACCCTATTATTCAGATTATTACATATAAATCATTAATGATAGTTATGTACTTATTGGCTGGTTCAATAAGGAATACAGTCTACATTTAGACCGCTTAAGTACTATTACCAATTAATAAGATAATCACACGATACTGACAGCCATAGTTCAAAGTGCTTCCTACTTAAAATTCTTTTCACTATGCAAATGAATGAAACCCAAAGCTTCTTTCCCTATTGTTCTTAATATCTGCCCTAAAAAAGTTACCTGGTAAGCAAAAGATTCCTTACTATGCTCAAAGACTATAGTCCTTTGAATTCCACAGAGAACAGACCATGGATGATTTTCCTACTTATTCTATAGATGCAGTAGTATAACTCTAACTCACCCTGTTCATTTAAGATTGTGAGCAAACTTTCCACCAATGTTCCAAATGAAAAGGCATCCCGGGCATGTCCATGACACTCTGGGAGAGTTGTGAATTCTGGAGACTAAAAGCAGTAAAGACAATTAAAACTACAGGATCTGCCTTAAAGCCATTTCTAATTTTCTCTGAAGCACTTTCTCCCATGTTTGTATTTATTATACTCAAATCTGTCTTTAGAATACCACATATAAATGAATGTATAGGTTCTTAACACTATTAGTGAATAGAATTTGTGGAAGATTTTAAAACATTAAAATGGGCAAAAATTTTTAAAAAGGTCAGAGCATGGCACACGTCAGTGGCTTTTAAAAATATTTTCACTGCAACCCATGGTAAAGAATATGTCTTATATCATGACCTACTATACATACATGTGCATAAATACACACATAATGGAAACAAAAGTTTCATAAAACAATGCTTAGCCTTACTATCTAAGATGCCCAAAGACATCTTCTTTTATTCTATTTTTTTGTAAAATGCTAGTCAGGACCCCCTAAATTGACTTAAAACCCACAAATCACCAATTTTAAAAACACTAGTGTGTGTGTGTGTATATATATATATATAAAATATATATATATATAAAAAAAATACTGATTTGGATAAATCTGATTTATTTCAAGTCTTAGGTCTATACTTAAGTTTATAGTTGAGTTCATATTTCCTGTAAAGTACACTAAATATATCTTTGGGAATTGTTTATTTACAGTGGCTATAAAAACAAATTTATAGAGGGAGCATCTGCTTTTGAATTTATTGGTAAACAGAATATTTCTTTGCTAGCACTCTAATGTTAATAATCATTGTTCTGTGCATCTTGAAATCCCAAGTAATGGGCAGCTAGAGATAGATGAATGGTTTGGGTGACATACAAGAAAGGACCTAGGGCTTTTGCTTCCACAATTATTATGGATTCCAGGAAAGTACAACTACTGCTAATGGTTTCACTGTTTCCCCACCCAAATCTCATGTTGAATTGTAACTCCCACAATTCCCACATGTTCTGGGAAGAACCAGTGGGAGGTGACTGAATTATGGGGGCAGGTCTTTCCTGCCCTGTTCTCATGATAGTGAATAAGCCTCACAAGATCTAATGGTTTTAAAAAGGGGAGTTTCCCTGCACAAGCTCTCTTGTCTGCCACCAGGTGAGACGTGCCTTTCACCTTCTGCCATGATTGTGAGGCCTCCCCAGCCACATGGAAGTGTAAGTCCAATGAACCTCTTTCTTTTGTAAATTGCCCAGTCTTGGGTATGTCTTCATCAGCAGCATGAAAACAGACTAATATAGTAAACTGTTACCAGTAGAGTGGGGTGTTGCTGAAAAGATACCCGAAAATGTGGAAGAGACTTTGGAACTGGGTAACTGGCAGAGGCTGGAACAGTTTGGAGGGTTCAGAAGAAGACAGGAAAATGTGGAAAAGTTTGGAACTTCCTAGAGACTTGTTGAATGGCTTTGACAAAAATGCTGCTAGTGATATGAACAATAAGGTCCGGGCTGAGGTGGTCTCAGATGGAGATGAGGAACTTGTTGGGAACTGGAGCAAACGTGACTCTTGTTATGTTTTAGCAGAGACTGGTGGCACTTTGCCCCTGCCCTAAAGAACTGTGGAACTGAACTTAAAAGGGATGATTTAGGATATCAGGTGGAAGAAATTTCTAAGCAGCAAAGCATTCAAGAGGTGACTTGGGTGCTGTTAAAGGCATTCAGTTTTAAAAGGAAAACACAGCATAAAAGTTTGGGAAGTTTGCAGCCTGACAATGCAATAGAAAAGAAGATCTCAGGTGAAATTCAAGCTGGCTGCAGAAGTTTGCATAAGTAATGAGGGGCCAAATGTTAATCCCCAAGACAATGGGGAAAATGTCTCCAGGGCATGTCAGAGATCTTCACGGCAGCCCCTCCCATCACAGGCCTGCAGGCCTAGAAGGAAAAAGTGGTTTCACAGGCCAGGCCCAGGGTGCCCGTGCTGTGTGAAGCCTAGGGACTTGGTGCCCTGCATCTCAGCCACTCTAGCCATGCAGAAAGGGGCCAACGTAGAGCTCGGGATGTGGCTTCAGAGGGTGCAAGCTCCAAGCCTTGGCAGCTTCCATGTGGTGTTAAGCCTACAAGTGCACACAAGTCAAGAATTGGGGTTTGGGAACCTCCACCTACATTTCAGAAGATGTATGGAAATGCCCGGATGCCCAGGCAGAAGTTTGCTGCAGGGGCAGGGCCTTTATGGAGAACCTCTACTAGGGCAGTGTGAAAAGGAAATGTGGGGATGGAGCCCCCACACAGAGTTCCTACTGGGGCACCACCTAATGGAGCTGTGAGAAAGGGGCCAGCATCCTCCAGATCCCAGAATGGTATCCACTGACAGCTTGCACCATGTGCCTGAAAAAGCTGCAGACATTCAAGACCAGCCTGTGAAAGCAGCCAGGAGGGAAACTGTACCCTGCAGAGCCACAGGGGTAGAAGCTGCCCAAGACCATGGGAACCCACCTCTTGCATCAGCATGACCCGGATGCGAGACATAGAGTCAAAGGAGATCATTTTGGAGCTTTAAGATTTGACTGCCCCATTGGATTTCAGACTTGCATGGGGCCTGTAGCCCCTTTGGCCAATTTCTCCCATTAGGAATGGCTGTATTTACCCAGTGCCTGTACCCCCATTGTATCTAGGAAGTAACTAACTTGCTTGTGATTTTACAGGCTCATAGGTGGAAGGGACTTGCCTTGTCTCAGATGAGATGTTGGACTACTGACTTTTGAGTTGATGCTGAAATGACTGAAGACTTTGGGAGACTGTTGGGAAGATATGATTGGTTTTGAAATGTGAGGACATGCGATTGGGGAGGGGCCGGGGAGGAATGATGTGGTTTGCCTGTGACTCTCATCTTGAATTGTAACTCCCACAATTCCCATGTGTTGTGGGGAGGAACCCAGTGGCAGGTGATTGAATTATGGAGGTAGATCTTCCCTGCATTCTTCTGGTAATAGTCAGTAAGTCTCATAAGACCTGATGGTTTTAAAAAACGGAATTTCCCTGCACAAGCTCTCTTCTCGTCTGCTGCCATGTGAGAAGTGCCTTTCACCTTCTGCCATGATTGTGAGGCCTCCCCAGCCACATGGAACTGTAAGTCCAATAAACCTCTTTCTTTTATAAATTGCCCAGTCTCAGGTATGTCTTTATCAGCAGCATGAAAACAGACTAATACAACTACTTATCGTGAAATGGGTATAATAGTCTGTTTACACTGAGGTATCTCTACCTCATATCATAGGTGTTTATGTGACAAAAAAATTTAAGCTGGTTCCCTGGCTGTGGCGATAAGATTAATCTTAGAAAGCTTTAAGGCCAGAGGAATTATGAGGCACCTATAACTCAGTAAAGAAAGGAATAAGCAGAGGAAAGTTTTTTAAAATTTCATACTTAGTTACACAAAGGTGCCTTCATTACATGTGAAGTATATCATCTTACCATCTCTTCAGGAGGGATAGATGCTGGGTCTCTTATTGACTGAATGCTCCTCAGAAACTAGACAGAGAAATAAATTAAAGAAAATGATTCATACACGTTTGGTGAACTAATCTCTTACATCAGGTAACATAAGCAATGAGCAATGCAAACAGCAGCAATTAAACCTTCAAATCAATGCCACACATTAGATGCACAAATTTAAAATGCTCCTAATGTAAAAAATGCAAATAAAGTACCTGGCACAGCACAAGGCATAGTAATAAATGGTAGTTCCTTTTCCTCTCTCCTTCATCTGGTTTAACAGACACGCTCTGCTATTCAGAGGCATCTGTGCATCTGATTTCGTTATATGGAAATTAGAACATTTCTTTCTCTCCTGCTTAGATATTAACAATAAGAAGGCTTTTCTAGCACAGAACAAATCTGTCATTAATCTCACTAAATCAAATGAATCTTAAGTCTTGCTACCACACGAGATTAGAAAGTTGAGAACCTTAGCTATGGAGACAAAACCAACATCCACAGAATAAGCATGTTAATTTGCTAGTTTTGAAGATTATTTTTGAAGAGCTTATATGTCCCGAACATCATTGAGAGCACTAAGAATACAAGATGAATGCAATAAAGTTTCTGCCCCCAACCAGGTGCTCACAACCTAGAATGTAAATAAGAATTTCCATAAACATGCTGAGTGCCCTGGAAGCACCGGGTGACTAATTTTGTTGGGTAGGGGAGTGCCTAGGGTAAGGAGTCACAGAAAGGAGATGGAAGCCAGATCTTAGATGAGTTTACATTTTCCAGAAACCAAGGGGAAGAAATGCATTCCTGCAACAGAATGGCCTACAAAGAAGAAGAGTGTAAAGGAAGAAGGCATATGTGGGGACATAGCTGAACTACATGGAACAAGATGTAACCAGACTACAGCTCAAGAACTCTTGAGTGAGGCCAGGCTCTGTGGCTCACATCTGTAATCTCAGCACTTTGGGAAGCTAAGGTGGGCAGATAACCTGAGGTCAGGAATTTGAGACCAGCCTTGGCAACATGGCAAAACCTCGTCTCTATCAAAAATATACAAAATTAACCAGGTGTGGTGGTGTGCACCTGTGGTCCCAGCTACTTAGGAGGCTAAGGTGGGAGGATCACTTGAGCCAGGGAGGCAGAGGTTGCAGTGAGCCGAGATCACACTACTGCACTCCAGCCTGGGTGACAGAGGGAAATTCCGTTCCCCAACACTCCCCTAAAAAACCTAAATGGTAAATGAGGCTGAAGGTAGGCTGGAGAAAGATTGTGAAGGGCCTTATATCCCATGGCAAAGAATTTGGAATAAATAGCACAGAAAGGATTACATGCTATTATACGAAGTACACAAAAGGTAAATCCAGGGAGAAAAGAGATCAGTATGGGCAGAATAACCAGAGAGATGTCTTTGTGGTAAAGCTTTTGAACTGAGCAAGAACCCATGAAGGTGCACGTTAGACATGGCCCCAAGTTAAGTGTGGAAGCAGCACAAAAGAGAACAGGGGAAATTAGACTGAAACAGTGAGTCAACAGTGAGCCACCATTTCCGTAGGGATATTAGGAGGGAAATGATTTTTATTTTTTCTGTAAGAAAGAGTGAATGCAATGGCAACATGCGAAATGTGAAGAGAACACACAAAACAGAAAACAGAAAGGTTCATCAACCTGGGAGGGAAACACGTAGACAAAAGTATAAGGATTACTACGTCAGCAACAACACAGTCCACTAGGAGTTAAGATGCACAGGTCCTAAGTCCAGCTACTAAGATACCATGTATGAATTCGGGCAACTCGGACAATTGTTCAAAGAACATTTTCTGAATAACTATTATGTGCCAGGCACTATTCTAGGTAGAGGTATAACGATAAGAGACTCACACCCTTAAGAGCCCAACCACTGGAATACAAGACAGATACATAAAGGTAATCTCACTATCAAGTGGTATGATCAAAGTAAGTACAAGGTACTATGGGGCAGAGAGGAGGGGCATTTAACTAAAATATCTGAACAAAACATTTTACCTCTCTCAGTCTCAGGTTCCCCATTTATAAAATAAGGAGAAAGGATACATGACTCCTACTGCCTCTGAGGAACAAAATGCTACAATTCTATAAATGAGGGCACTGACAAAAAATTCAAGTCTCTTAAGACCAAGCTAACACTGAAGGAAAGTGCCTAGGCAAGAACCACATACTAAGACGCTATTAAAAACCAAGTAAGGAAGGGGGGCTGTCCCCTGGCTTACCTCTGGTGTGGCCTGAGAAATTTTGCAAACAGTTTCCATTGCTCCTAGTTTCCAGTGCCCATCTTCACTCACAAACACAGATGATAAACAGACATTATTGTGTGTTAGTTGTCCCTGGAAAAAAAAAAAAGAACAGAAGGAAGAGTGCCACTCCAGGATCTGAAACAGAAATTTATTTAAAAAAATGTTTTTCTCCATCTCTCACAATCTTTATTTTAAAAAACTAAATACTAACCACCAAAAAAATTATGACAAGCCTTCCCACTTGTGGCACGATAAATGGAACTATGACTTTAAGAAACAACAAATTGTATGAAGTTAGGTAAAAGGAAAAATGGAATGGAAGGGCTTCTGTTATCTCCCCCTGCCTCATGTGGCAGGTTAATAAACACATTAAAGCCAGTGCACACAGTCATCTCCCCATTTCTATGGGAGTCAGAAGATATACATGTTCTTAAACATAAATTTACAAGTCTGTATAGCCTATATTATTTACTTCCAATGCCTTTAAAGATAAAATGTATCTTTGCTCACATAAGTTATTTTATTAATTTTCTTCTCTAGATTCTTTCTCACCTACATTCTATCACGAACCCAGATCCACTTCACCTGAAATCTTGTCAGTAGGCATTAAAAAAATTCTGCCTGAAGAAGAGGAAAATGGAATGATAAGGACCACCAGAAATATCCCACAGACCACAAAAGAGCCCATTTTAAAACTGTAAAAACAGTACAGTCAAATAAGAGAAAGGGAGAAAATAAGAACAGGATTCAGGTATTATTTTTCCCCAAAGCAAAAATCATTTCAGTAGACAAAAAAGTGTGTTTAAAGTTATTATGTATGTATGTAATGTATGTATGTATTTATTACAGGGTCTCTGCTGCTCAGGTTGGAGTGCAGTGGCGTGATCACAGCTCACTGCAGCCTTGACCTCCTGGGCTCAAGCAATCCTCCCATCTCAGCCTCCCGAGTAAGGGGAACTACAGGCATGTGCCACCATGCCTGGCTCATTTTTTAAAATGTTTCTGTAGAGATAGGGTCTTGCCATGTTGCCCAGGCTGGTCTCAAACTCCTGGGCTCAAGCAATCTGCCTACCTCGGCCTCCCAAAGTGCTGGGATTACAGGTGTGAGCCATTGCACCTGGCCAAAAGAGCACTTTAAATATTCTACCCAATACATCAAATATGTAAATATTTTTATAGAGAATACTCCAAAGGATATTTTTTAAAGGAAGGTTTAGAATAGTGTGTATAGTATATTTCCATTTGAGAAAAAAATGAAAGTGAAGAAGTTTACACACTAGATATTTGTTTCATATGCACAAAGAACATCTCTGGAATAATACACGAGTCACCATCATTGCCTCTGAAGAGAGGAATTAGGGCACTGGATTTAAGGATGGGAAAGGGACACCTCACCCACAGAGTGTACAAACTTTTTAACCATGTGTATGCACTTTTGTTGACAAAGAAGATATTTTTCCCCGTTGAACCATTAATAATTCTCATTATCATGTGACCTTGTAAACATACTTTTAAGAGACTATAAATCCAATATGATATTTGAAGAATCTGTCTCAAATTAATAGAAAAAATTTAAAAACATACAAGATGAGTCAAGTCCAAGTGTTTCTAACCTGTGATTGGTATTTGTTAATCTTGGTGGACTGCCAAAGACCTTAATGCTTCAGAATGCAAATACCATTAAGAAAACAGTAATACTGTCAAGAAACAGACCAGAAGTAAACCTAGGAACCACCATCTTCTAGTAATAGCAAACATCGTCAGAGAGTCAAGCACACTGGTTACACCACAGAATGTTAAGAGGCTGTCTCTCAATTGGCCCCAACTACTCAAACGGGAAAGGATATGTATATATTCTGCCTTTTCCTAAGAAATGGTCATTTCTTTCTTCAAAATCTAAAATGGGACACAACTCCTGAAAACAAATAGGAACTTTAGTCTAAGGCAGCACTGATACTACACCTTTTCTTTGTTTTAATAACTCATGCCAGCTGTAGCTATTTTTAGGCAAAGAATTATCCAAAACTAGAGGCAGACTATAGTAAACTAAAATAAAATTCTAAAAATAACTGTCCAGGGACACAGAACTCGTTGTCCATTCAATAAAACCTCTATCTATAGCACCTCTTGTGCCTTCCAACGTGCTATTTTTTCTCAGGAAGTTTTCTAATAATAACACTAACTTACAATTTCTATACATACCATAATTTATAAGTATTACCACACACATCATCCCCCTACCCCCATCTACATCAAAGTCTGTGAGGCAGACTATACAGGTTACTTACTCTGTCATGAAGAAAGATAAGAGCCAGCAATATGTCATAGATCCCAGCACAGACCTCTGCAGAAGACAATGTTTCCAAAGCCACTTCCAGGGGCTGTACTCGCTCAGTGACAAGATGAATGCCATCCGCTTCCACAGTACAAGATAAAAATCTTAGCAAGCAAGGGTGACGAAGTGTCTTCAAATGCTTTAAAAATACAAACAGAAGAGCTGAAGTTAATGACCCCAAACCAGATTATAGTTTCATATACATTATGGGAGAAACCAGAAAATGTATACTTGCAGTTAAGGCTCTTTTGAGCGCCCTACCTTCCTCCCTACCCGCTAAATTTCACATAAGGCAAAGATCTATGACTTGTTCTGACATCATTCAATTTACTAACATTTAAATGACTCTACAGAAATTTCCAGTTCCATTATGGTAGTGTAAGCCTCCTAAGAGCCCAGATCTCTCAACGATTACTGCTGTCAACTAAACAAAGTGCCAGAAATAACTGAAATCCCGAAAAGCAAGCAAATGCAAGCAGATTATGGAGGGGAGTCAAACCTGAAGAAGCGACACCAATGGCGGTAAGTTTCTTGGTTTAGGGAAATTTTCCCCTTCTCACAGCTATGCATGGAGACAGGCCCCAGTTGCAAAGCAGTGTAACAAAGGTGCTAAAAGTCCAATAAAAACTTTACCATCTTTCTGGCTGAAACAATGATAGAAAAGAACGAGGAAGGTGAGTATGAGGAGGATATCCCAGAGAGGAGACAGCTGGAGAGATGCCCTGATTATTCACATACCCACAAATTCTCAGAAGCAAGCATCCGCAGGATAGACCCAAACCAGCAAACTTTTGAGAAAGACAGATTGCAAATACTATTCACAGGAAGAGTAAGAGGAAGTAGTTCAAAAACTTGAGGCCTGACCCTAAATTAGCTGCCTGCTAAATAAAAAACATCAACATTTTCCAAAGGATTATAACAGAACAAAGAGTTATGTGACGTCGCATTCAACATGTCCAGGATGCAACCCCAAACTACTCAACATACAAAGAACCGTAAAAATGTAACACATTCTCAATGGAAAAGACAACCAACAACCACCACCTCAAGGGGCCTCAGATATTAGAATGACCACAAATAATTTAAAGCAGCTATTATAATCATCCGCCTAGAGATAAAGGAAAAGTTATAAAATAAATAGAAAGATACAAATTTCCAAAAGAAAAAAAGATTGAAAATAAAACATTAATGTATAGACTCATTAACAGAATGAATAGGACAGAATAAAGAATCAGTAAACTTGAAAATATTAACCAATCTGAAGAATAAAAAATATTTTTAAAAAATGATCAGAGGGGCCAGGTGTGGTGGCTCAAACCTGTAATCCCAGCACTTTGGAGGCCAGTGCAGGAGGATTACTTCAGCCCAGGAGTTTGAGACCAGCCTGGGCAACACAGTGAAACCCCCGTCTCATAAAGAAAAATTAAGAAAGAAAAAAATAGAGACCAGAGCCTAAGAAACCTGTGACAATAACAAAAGGTCAAATAAATATAACTGAAGTCCCAAAAAGAGAAAAGAAAAAAATTGGGGCATAAAAAATACAATGGATGAAAATTTAAATTTGGCTAAATACTTAGGTTTACAGACTTTAAGAATTTCAGTGAATATAAAACAAGACAAAAATTTTTAAAAGCACACTTAAACATATTACCATCAAACTGCTAAATATCAAAGATAAAAAAATTTTGGAAGCAGCTAAAGTAAACACATTACATGGAGGAGAATGATGATTTAAACAACTGCAGATTTCTCATCAGGAAACATGGAGGGCAAGAAACAATGAAACGTTTAAAATGCTGAAAGAAAAAACTATCAGCTTGGAATACTGTATCTAAGCAAAAGTAACCTTCAGAGACAAAGGCAAAATAAAAGCACTTTTGGTGACAAAAAGAAAATTTCTCGCCAGAAGACTCGCTATTTAAAAAATGCTCATGGAAGTTCTACAAATGGAAGAAAAAATGATACCAAAGGGAAACTTGAATTTTCAGGAATGAAGGAACAGCACGAGAAATGGTAAATATTACAATAAATATGAAGGCCACTTTTTTTTTTTCCTTTTTCTTTTTTGAGACAGGGTCTCACTCTGTCGCCTAGGTTGGAGTACAGTGGCGCAATCTCAGCTCACTGCAACCTCCACCTCCCGGTTCAAGCGATTCTCCTGCCTCAGCCTCCCGAGTAGCTGGTACTACAGGTTTGCACCAGCATGCCCAGGTAATTTTTGTATTTTTAGTAGAGACAGGGTTTCACCATGTTGGCCAGGCTGGTCTTGAACTCCTGACCTTGAGCAATCAGCCTGCCTCAGCCTCCCAAAGTGTTGGGATTACAGGCGTGAGCCATCGTGCCCAGGTGAAGGCCACATTTTTACCTCTTCAGTTATTTAATCACTACTTAAAGCAGATATTTTAATAATTCCTGGTGAGGTTTTCAATGTGTGTGAATGAATATACAGTTAATATGTGTGTAACAAAGAACAGTAGGGATGGGAGGTTGAAGATACCTACATTACAAGGCTTCCACATTTTATGTGACATGTGGACATGGTATAATTTTTTTTTTTTTTTTTTTTTTTTTTTGAGACGGAGTCTCACGCTGTTGCCCAGGCTGGAGTGCAGTGGCGCGATCTCGGCTCACTGCAAGCTCCGCCTCCTGGGTTCACGCCATTCTCCTGCCTCAGCCTCCTGAGTAGCTAGGACTACAGGCGCCCGCCACCGCGCCCGGCTAATTTTTTGTATTTTTTTTAGTAGAGACGGGGTTTCACTGTGGTCTCGATCTCCTGACCTTGTGATCCGCCCGCCTCAGCCTCCCAAAGTGCTGGGATTACAGGCTTGAGCCACCGCGCCTGGCCTGGACATGGTATAATATTAACCACAGTAGACTATATTTTGCCCTATTTATTTTTAATTTTCTTAAATTAAAAAAATTGATAATAGATATGCATATTTAGGGGGAGTACCTGTGATTTTAATACCTTCATAATATTTGTAAAGATTTAATCAATATAATTGGGATATCCGTCACCTTAAACATTTGTCTTTTCTTTATGCTAGAAACATGAGAATTATTCTCTTCTAGTTATGTAAAAATATACAATTGATTATTGTAAACTAGTCATTCTACTGACCTATCAAACAATAGATCTTATATCTTCTATCTTCTAACTGTGTATTTGTACCCATTAATCAACCTCTCTTCATCCCCTACAATCCCCTTCCTGGCCTCTGGTAACCACCAATCTACTCTCAACTCGTATGAGATCAACTGTTTTAGATTCCACATGAGTGACATCTTTCAGTGTGTGTCTTTCTGTGCCTGATTTACATCACTTAATGCAGCGGTCCCCAACCTTTCCGACACCAGGGACCAGTTTCATGGAACACAATTTTTTCACGGACCAGGGGTGGGGGGATTATTTCGGGATGAGACTGTTCTACCTCAAACCATCAGGCATTAGTTAGATTGTCGTAAGAAGTGCACAACCTAGATCCCTTGCATACACAGTTCACAACAGGGTTCCTGCTCCTATGAGAATCTAATGCTGCTGCTGATCTGACAAGAGGCAGAACTCAGATGGTAATGCTCGTGTGCCCACTGCTCACCTCCTGCTGTGCAATCCAGTTCCTAGAACCGGTACCAATTTGCAGCCTAGGAGTTGGGGACACGTGACTTAACATAAGGTCCTCTAGGTCCTAACATGTTACTGCAAATGATGGGATTTCATTCTTTTTATGGCTAAACAGTATTCCATCGAATATATACACCACATTTTCCTTACCCATTCATCCACCAATGGACACTTAGGGTGATTTCACATTTTGGCTATTGTGAATAATACTGCAATAAATATAAGAGTGCAAATATCTCTTTTTCATATTGATTCCCTTTATTTTGGATACACACCCAGTAGTGGAATTGCTGAATCATTGGGTAGTTCTGCTTTTAGTTTTTTGAGGAACCTCCAGACAGTTTTCTGTAGTGGCTATACTAATTTACATTCCCGCCAACAGTATATGAGGATTCCCCTTTCTCCAGATCATCACCAACATCCAGGAGGATGGTGTGAACCCGGGAGGATGGCGTGAACCTGGGAGAATGGTGTGAACCCGGGAGGCGGAGCTTGCAGTGAGCCGAGATAGCGCCACTGCACTCCATCCAGCCTGGGTGACAGAGCGAGACTCCGTCTCCAAAAAAAAAAAAAAGTAGAAACCGTTCTTAGCTAATCTGGGCGTAAGTTTGCTCAACTCTGCCACAGATCATCAATGAATATAAAACATATTTACAAAGTATTTTAATTTTGTTTATTCTGTTTTCTTACATTTTACCTTTTTACTTATTATTTACTCCCCTTGAAAATGTTTATGCTGGGTGCCGTGGCTTTCCCCTGAAATCCCAACACTTTGGGAAGCTGAGGCGGGTGGATCACTTGAGCCCAGGGATTCAAGACCAGCTTGGGCAACATGGCGAAACCTCATCTCTGCAAAAAAATACAAAAATTAGCTGGGCATGGTGGCGCCCACCTGTGGTCCCAGCTACTCAGGAGACTGAGGCTGGAGGATCGCTTGAGCTGGGGAGGTCCAGGCTGTAATGAGCCATGATCAAGTCACCGCACTCCAGCGTTGGCAACAGAGCTAGACCCTATCTAAATAAATAAAATAAAAATAAAACGTTTAAACATCTTTTAAACTTTTATCACAACTCGCTGGGTATGGATACCCCAACTTTTAGAAATCCCTACAATGGAATATTCCTGCGTCCTGACCTGGTTTCTTTGTCCTACTTTCTAAGCAGACACTAGACACAGATGAAATGACAAGCATGAAACAATTTTGTGTCCGAACAAGGGAGGTTAAATCTGTGGAATATCTTCTCTAGATGGTCCTGGAACAGCTCTATCAGATCCTGACTTTCCAATCCCCACCCATGCAGCATATTTTGAAAATTTTAACATGAGTAACAGGAGATCCACAGTCCAAAATTCCTCCAACATTGAATAATTTTATCATTTAATTACAGCAAAAAGAAACTGCTGGAAAGGTGGTTTTCCTTACAAACCACGAATTTCTGAAAGAAATTTCATGATATAAAGCTCTAAGGTCTACCCTATACAATCACTGAGGAAGCCCTGTAAATCAGTCATATTGG